TTGGTCCATAATTATTTCTTTACCCATTACAAAGATTTTAAATTTATCAATATAATATCTATTTCCATGTCCATCAATTTCAATATAGTTTGCATTACTATAAAATACCCTTATTAGATTCTTAAAGATAATGCCATCTAAGGTAAAATAGTTCATCCAATCAAATTCTTCAAAGACATGCAAATATGAAAATTCAATGGATTGGAAGAAGTTAAGATTGATTACCCTTCCTTTCTTGACTTCTCTATAAATAAAATGAGTCTCATATCTCTCATTTGCTATAAAATTTTTAAAATTTTAGCTGAAAAAAAGCTTGATTGATGAACTAGAGGCTCCCATTGGTGGTTTCTTTTTATGGTAAGAAAAGATCTTGTTTTAGGTGTTATGGAAAAAATGAAATAGTGAAAATAGATAGGTTTAAATGAAATTGATGAAGGAATTTGTGAATGTAGGTGACAAGTAGTAATATATATTTGTGAGAAGAGAAAAAATTAAATGAATGAAAGAGTTTCAAATATGGATCAAATTTTTAGAGAGAGAAATGAGATAAAAGGATTTGTTATGAATTTGAGAGGATGTTGATGAAATTTGATGAAAATATTGCAAGAAATCAAAGAGCCATGAAGATTTTTATAAAAAAATTATAGTTTAAATTGACGAGTTTTGGAAGAAATTGAAGCTTGAAAACTTAAGGTTTAAAGAGAGTATTTTGGGGATGAAAGGGTGAATAAGATCGGCTAATGAAGGAAGAGAAAGAATTAGGTTTTTGAAGGGTCAAAATGGTGCGTATAATTTAAGTTATTCAAGGATGATCGATTGGGTCCTTAAAGAATCGATCCATCTGAATGTGAGGTTTTGGGTGAGCAAGCCATGGACTAATCGATTGAGTCCCAAAGGGATCAGTTGGGCTTTGTGTTTCTAGGTTGAATTTGGCTATAGGAAGATAAACCAAACGATCCGGTCCTCTATGATCAATCAGTCTACTTGTAATTTTTTTTAAAGAAATTTGAAAGATTTAAAAAAAACGAATATACATGCAATATAACCATTTAAATATACATCATATAATTACAAATATAATCATAAACAAGTTATCAAAAGTATATCAAGATAAACACATATTTGTTAAAGCAAAGCACAAATACATCAATTTATCAAGAGCTGCATTTTAAGGAGCATTCATCATACCAAATGCACTTTTAATTGTATAAAATCTAGTTCTATTAAGAGTTTTTGTAAAAATATTAGCTAATTGATACAATATATCAACATATTCAAGCACAATATCACCTTTTAAACATGATCTCTAATAAAAAGATTTCAATATATTTAGTTCTTGAATGTTGAATTGAATTTTTGGTGAGATTAATGGCACTAGCATTATCATATTTAATGAGAATGTGATTAATGGTAATTTCAAAATCCTCTTAATTGTTATTTAATCCATAAAACTTGAGCACAACAACTACCGATTGTTACATATTTAGCTTTGGTTATAGATTGAGTAACCCTTCTGTTTCTTGAAAAATCATGATATGAGCATATTCCTAAATAATTGATAAATATCGAAAGTGTTTTTTTATCAATTTTACAACCATCAAAATCCGTATCGAAATAAGTAAGCAAAGTAAAAGATGAACCTTTTGGATACTATAATCCTAAGTTAGGAATGTCCTTAAGGTATTTAAGAATTTTTTTAATTCAAGTAAATGTGATTCTCTAGGTGATGATTGAAATTTAGCACATAAGCATACATTAAATATTATATCCAGTTTACTTGCTGTAAGATATAACAATGAACCAATTAATGACCTATATAATTTAGAATCAGTACATTTACCTCCTCCATCTTTGTCAAGTTTTGTTGAAGTGCTCATAGGTATTGAGTAAGGCTTTGATTCTTCAATCTAAACCTTTTGAGCAAGTCCTTGATGTATTTTGCTTGATTGATAGAGGTACTATCTTTTGTTTACTTTACTTGTAATTTTAAGAAAAATGTAAGCTTTCTCATCATGCTTATTTCAAATTCACCTTGTATAGTCCTAGCAAATTCTTGACAAAGAGATTCATTAGTAGCACCAAATATAATATAATCAACATAAACGTACACAATGAGAATATCATTTCTTTTTGTTTTAATAAAAAGTGTAGCATCAATCTTCTCTTTATTGAAACTATTTTCAATTAAAAACTTCAACAATCTTTCATACCAAGCTCTAAGAGCTTGTTTTAAACCATAAAAAACTTTTTTCAATCTATAAACATGATTTGAAAATTAAAGATTTTCAAAACTAGGAGGTTGCTCTATATTCACCTCTTCAATTATAAATTCATTTAAAAATGCACTATTGATATCCAATTGAAAGAGCTTGAAATCTTTGAAACATATAAATATAACCAATATCTTAATGACTTTTAACTTATAATGGGGGTATAAGTTTCATCATAATCAATTCCTTTTTCTTAACTATACCTTTGAGCCATTAACCTAACTTTATTTTTAACCACTGTGCCATGCTTATCCATTTTATTCCTAAAAACCCATTTGGTGCCTATGATAGGATGATTACTAGGTCTAGGTACAAGATTTCATACTTGATTTCTTTCAAATTAGTTCAATTCCCTTTGCATAACCAATATCAAATGTTCATCTCTTAAGGCTTCATCTATGTTCTTGGGTTCAATATGAGAGAGAAAAGTAATATAATTATACACATTGTAAGAAAATTTAGTTCTTATCCCTTAAGTTGGATCATTAATAATCTCACTATCTTTGACATATCTTTTTTTTTTTATGGTGATTTGGTTCTTGCTCTATTTGTTATGGTTTCTCTAAAAACTCATCATCATCTTTTTGAATGTTCTTTTCAATGTTATGTGATATATCATTGATATTTTCTTGAAGTGTACCCACATCATCATTAAGATACACATTTCTCGGAAATGAATTAGATTCATCAAAGATAATATATATAGCCTCATCAATAACTAATTTTTTTATTAGACTTTATATGTGTTTGAATTCAAAGAATATCCTTGAAAAATACTTCATCACTTTTTGAATCAAATTTTCAAAGATTATGTTTTTCATTGTTCAAAACAAAGCATTTATAACCAAAATGATGAAAATAGCTTATGTTAGACTTTTTTTCTTTAAAAAATTCATAGGGAGTTTTCTTCAAGATTGATCTAATCATATGTCTATTTATAGTATAATAAGAGGTATTAATGGCTTTCGACCAAAAATATCTAAGTAAATTATTTTCACAAAGCATAGTTTTAGCCATTTATTCTAAAGTTCTATTTCGCTTTTCTACTACCCCATTTTGTTAAGAAGTTCTATGAGCAGAAAAATTATAACTAATACCATTTTCATTACAAAACACATTATAGCTAATGTTTTCAAATTCTTTTTCATGATCACTTTTAATACTAGAACTTGAATAACCTTTTTCATTTTATATTTGTTTGCCAAAAGTGATAAATTTTTCCTAAGCTTTATTCTTTGAATGCAAGAAAAAAACTAATGTATATATAGTAAAATCATCAACAATAACAAACCCATTTAATATAAATTGTTTTGTTATCTCAACTCATTAACTTTTTCTTACAAAATTTATCTAATTAAAAAAATAAAAAACTTCAAAAAATAAAGGAAATGTTGAGAAAGAAAAAGAAATAGGAAGTTAAATAAAGATGTCACATGAATTTATTAAATTAAAATATTAAATAACTTTGTTACTATAATATATAAATATAAAATGAATATATAATAAATATATATATTTATATATATTTGGGGGAAGAAAAATACCCTAAATTTGTATCAGGCTTGACCTCAATTTTCAAAAAAATCTTTGATTTGATCTTAAGTTTAAAAAATGCACTTATTGGATCAGAACGAATTGGAATCCATTGAATATGAATTATTTGGTTATTTATATCTCCATGGACATTTTTCTTACAAAACTTATTTAATGATTCTTTTTGTTACAAAATTTATCTAATTAAAAGATAAAAACAAAAAATAAAAAATGCAAAAGAGAAAAAATGAAATAAGGTGAACACCTTAATTGACTTTTTTAATAAAATTAATCTAATTAAGAAAACAAAATAAGTAAAGAAAAATGTAACAAGAAAAAGAAAAGATAAAAAACAAAAAAAAATTTGAGTTGCCATGCATTATTAACAATGATGAGCTTTTCTTATAAAATTTATTTTATAAATTAAAAAAATCTAAACTAAAAGGAAAAAAAAAAGACTAAAACAGAAAAGGCTAAAAGTCAAATTTAGATGTTATGTGGATGGATTTTTTTATAAAATTATCTAGTTAAAAAATTAATGAAAAAATAAAAATTTTTTAATCAATATTATTGTATGGACTCCACATAAAAATTTTAAAAATTTAAAACAGATCTTATTTATTAAATATGAAAAGAAGAAAAAATGAACAAGAATAAGTAAATAAGAAAAAATGTTTTAATAAATATTTTTATTTTAGTATTTTAGTAATAAATATAAATAATACTTTTTATTATTCAATAATAAATATTTTAAGATAAAAAATTGTTTAATAGTATAAATATTTTTGATATTTAAATATCAATATGACTATTTTATTATTCTTATAATAATAAAATAATATTTTAGTACTATTTTAAATACTTAAAATACTAAATATTCCTTATGTTTTAATAGCAAATAGTATTTATAAATATTTAATATATAATATTTTATATTTTAACCGTAAATAATATTATTAAGAAATTATATTTGAAAATATTTTTACTATTTTAATAATAAATATTTTAATAGTTTTATCAACATTACTATTTTGAAAGAACATAAAATTTTAAAAAGTGGATAAATAATAAAAACTTTTTACGTCATCCAAACAATACAAAATTTTTATTTTAAAAAAATACTAATATTTGATTTACACGAAATTAATTATAAATGAAGAAAATAAAAAAAGTTTAAAATGAAAAGGTTGAGCCCAATGGAATAAAAAAGGGCCTGTAAATGAAGAGACACATACGATAGGCTAGGGTTCCCATAAATACGATCTCAAATTCCCTCTTTTCTCTGCCATTGCCTTGCCCATTTCCCTTAAGAAATTACCTTCAAAAATAAAAGTTACTACCGAATCTATACTTTTCATTCCTCCGCAACCTACTTACCATTCCCCAGTGACATGCCCTTCTTCATCTCCGAGGAGGAGCTGTCGCGGCTCTCCAACGATGCCGTTACGGTGGCGGAGAAGGCGGACGCCTACATAAGGGATATGTACGGAGAGCTGGAGATGGCGAAGGCCAAGGCTGATGCCGCCGCCATCACAGCCGAGCAAACCTGCTCTCTTCTGGAGCAGAAGTTCCTCTCCATCTCTGGACAGTTGTCGGACTTACAGTCTCAGAACGCACATCTTCAATCTTCTCTCGATGAGAGGATCGCCGACCTCGCCCAGGCTCAGGCCCAGAAACACCAGCTCAACCTCCAAACCGTAAGTATTATAATTAATTTTTTTATCATTTTTTTTAAACAAGTATTAAATTAAGAAAAACACCGTAAATTTGATTAGATTGGAAAAGACGGGGAGATTGAGAGGTTGACAACGGAGGTTTCAGAGCTACATAAGTCGAAGAGACAGTTGCTAGAAATGATTGAGCAGAAAGATTTAGAGATTGCTGACAAGAACGCTGCTATTAAGACCTATCTTGATAAAATTGTAATGTTCTATTTTTATTTGTAATTTTCCTTCTGAATCAATTACCTTTTGCCTGGAAAACTAATTGCCTGGCTTTTCTTCATTTCCATAACATTATCAAAGGTTAACTTGACTGACAATGCTGCCCACAAGGAAGCTCGATTAAGTGAAACCGAGACTGAGTTGGTGCGAGTACAGGCTACTTGCACACGCCTTTCACAGGTCCTTTGAAAGTTTTTTCAATATGCTTTCCCTTTGCAAGTTTATCTACGCTCAAGGGGGTTTTGTCATTGTTTTTCCTTTGATTTGAGGGGAAAAGAAAAGTAAAAATTGGATGTGAACAGGAAAAGGAGCTTATTGAGAGGCACAATGCTTGGCTTAACGAGGAGTTGAATGCCAAAGTTAACAATCTTATTGAGATTCGTAGAACACAGGCTGAACTTGAAGCTGATATGTCTGCTAAGCTTGCTGATGTAAGTTTTTTTAACAAACATTATTGTAAAAATATCTTTCTCTCTTGATCTTTCAAATTAGTTGTTCTAACTCTTTCAGGTTGAGAGGCAATATAATGAATGCTCCAGCTCCTTAAATTGGCACAAGGAAAGAATGAGGGAACTAGAAACTAAGCTGACATCTCTACAGGAGGTTTGTTATACTATATTATCTTTATTTTCCTTCTAAAATTGTTATTCCTATCATATCTTTTGTATCAGCTGACAGCAATTCTATGCCATGTTTTCTTTTTTGTTATTTGTGAAGGAATTGTGCACGTCAAAAGAGGCTGCTACATCCAATGAAGAGAGATTTTCTGCTGAACTATCCATTGTGAGTGCTATAAGATTTATATTTCCTATTTAAACCACTTGGAACATATAATTATTGAAAATGGAGTGACCCTTGAAAACAGCTACACTTTTTTCTCTGGATTTTTGTTTGCTTGTAGCTACTTGGATTTGTTGAAGATGCAACCTGCTGTCTGGTTTCTAGATTACATTAAAATTGATAACCAAATTGGATTACTTTGTGAATGGACTAGGCAAACTGTTGAAGATTGGAAACGGTGTTTTTGTCAAGGGTACTTCATTAGTCCATTATCTAATGTGATCTTTAATCATGATACGAACAACTTGTATTTCTTAGTAAAATTATGATTTCGGTTTTGGTAAGATTGTTATTTTAATGGTGCAAACATGCTTTCTAGTTTCGTTCTGTTTAGAGTGTGAGCCAAGTTGATAGTAGCTATTATTGGATTCAAATATTATTGCAAATCTGCTAACATGTAAATTATTATAGATGGGAAGTTAAAGCTGTCATATACGGCACATCAGCTGTGAGAAATTTAGGGGATGAAATCCCATATAAGTTGGTGCAAAGTGACCCTTTCCATGGGTTAATTATTAGTTCAATCAGTGGTGTAATATATAAGTTATTATGAGGTCTTTAATAAATTAAATTTTAAATAACTTTTTTGGTCCAAAGGATAGGGGATGGGAATGGTGGGGTTCGAACTCTCACCTTGCTTGTCTTCTAAAGCCTTCGTAATAACTAGGCCAATAAGTTGAAGACAAATAATTTTAAATATATTGAAGTCAATTAAATGACTTTACTGGTTAAGCTTTCTTTAGTGTTTTATTTCCTTTTGCCCATTGATTACTTTGATTATCATAAAGAATATGATGATTGTTTACTTTGTGTTTTAGTCTATAAATATTATGGGGATTTATTCCTAATATTTTATGTTTTATAGTCTCTATCGGAAATCATTTGCTTATTCTAACGTTGCAATGCTCTATAGGCAAATAAGCTTGTTGAGTTACATAAAGAAAGTTCAGAGGAATGGTCCAAAAAGGCTGGGGAGCTTGAGGGAGCTATAAAAGCTTTAGAAGTAAGATTTCAGTGAATTTGGTACATTTTCATACTGGGCTTTGGTGTTCCTTTTGTTAGTTTATTGTTATTGTAAAACAGATGCACCTCGGTCAAGTTGAAGATGATTACAAAGATAGACTTGACAAGGAAGTATCTGCTAAGAAACAATTTGAGAGGGTATGCTACCTTTTTGTTGTATTCTGTTTATTTATATATACTTGTGTGTATTAGGCAACAACATTTTTTCTGACCTATTTAAAAGATCCTCAGACACTTTACTCTTTCTTCCTACAATTAGTTTCCTAACCTATTTATGGCTTTTTGCACGGCAATCAATACTTGGTCAATCTGTTTTTCCCTTTAGCGGAGAGGAAATACTGGGTTCTTTTTAAAGAATATTATCTAATTTTTTCTCCCGTTTGTTTGTAATTATCTTTTTATTTTGACACTTATAGGAGACAGAAGATTTGAAAGAGGAACTTGAGAAGTGCAAAGCTGAAATTGAAGCTGGTAGGAAAGCGAACGAGTTGAATCAACTTCCACTTGGCAATTTTACAACAGAAATGTATGTGTATTATTATTATTTGGTGAAAAGAATGCTTTAAATGCAAAAAGCATTGTTTATGCTTTTTCCTTGCAAGATAATATATTAATGCTGTTTAATGAGGTTTGATCATGATGCTTGATAAGACCTTAATGTTAGGTGTTTTTATATTGCAACAAAGCCATCTTTTCTTAAAATATTCTTGCGTTAGAAGGTTCTTTTATGTGATGATGTGGTTGGAGCATTGGTGTGTGAATGCATGTATACTTGATAAACTCATTGAATTTGTTTCTCCTAGTCATTATCGCTTGGATATGGAAACTGAGCTCATAGGTGATTGGATTTTTTTAGAGAAAGGCAATAATTTACTTGAAGTGGTAAATGTTTGGGAAATTATGGTTTCTGATTGCAGTAATGGTGTAGAGAAATATATTTAATTAAATGGAATAAAATATTATCTTTTTAGTGGGGCTTAGGAATGAACTAATTTGGATTGTTTTGATGTTTTTAAGGCTAAATGGTAATTTTGTTTGAACCATACAGCCTGTTGCTTGAACTGACCTGAATTTTACTGTTACCTTTTTGACTTCTCTCAAATTATTGATTTTTGTTCTGAATTTATCTGATATTATTCTTGTTTACATGTTTCAAAAATGCTATTAAATGCAGATGGATTAATGCAAGTGATGCTAATGACGTGGTTGAGGATGATCGCGCACTTGTCCCAAAGATCCCTGTTGGGGTTTCAGGAACAGCACTAGCTGCTTCTCTTCTCCGTGATGGTTGGAGTGTGAGTCTTGTATTTTTAATTTTCACTTTCTTTTGTTTCTTTTTCCATCAATTTTGATTTGATTTTGTGTTTCTTTGGGACTTTAGCTGACCAAAATGTATGCCAAATACCAAGAGGCTGTTGATGCTCTTCGACATGAGCGATTGGGTAGGAAGGAATCTGAATCAATATTGCAACGGGTATTGTATACCTTATCTTTGTTTGAATTTTTTCCAATGATACTCATTTTTTTGTATGGTGATGCTTTTGCTCACAATGTGGTATTAGCTTGTGATCTCTGATTATGGATAGGAATGTTATTCTTTTGACGTTGACAACTGATGTTGGTCTATTAGACAAGAGGATTTTAAAAAAGCAAAGCTTGGAATACAATTGTTACATGTGGTTAGAGCAACATAATCGAGATTCAAGATCATTGAAAACTGATGAGTATAAGTACCCCTTCTTGACCAAAAACCTACAATTTTGGACAATGAATTACAATTTTCTTAGAAATACAAAAACAGTTTAGATTTCTTAGAAATACTAAAAGACAGGAATTTAAGTGCTTGAGACAGTTAAATTTCTTTTTATATGAATTCAAATATGGAATCACGATTTTTCTTTTTTAATTTTCTTCGTAAACAGTTGCTATGGACCACCAAAAATAAAATCAAGGTGAAGGAACTCACAAAATATAGGGGCCCCTGTAGACTTAAAGATGAGTTGGTTTTAATCATTGACATTTGCCATTGCATAGATCACCACTTCTTATGCCCCCTGAATGATACTATAATGGAGACCAAGCGAGGCAATTCCCTCTTCTCCCTAACATAACTTGTCATTTAAGAAAATATAAAAATAAAAATTTTAGATAAACCATATAATATGCATGAGAAAAATTTGTGTCTTTTTTCATTTCTTCTGTTTGCCCTTATTAGAATTCTTTGACTTTAGAGAATGACAACCAACTTGGCGTCTTTCATACTTTGCATTTTCAATTTGTATTTAGGTGGATGGCAAACTCCTTTTTATAGAAATCACTAATTTGGCGGCAATTAGGACTTTTTTTTTTTAAGTAACTTCTAGCCATGATTTTGGTGCTTATTAGCCCCTCACATCGTAATTCCTATGTGTGCGATATTTTTTGGGTGTGTTGTAATGTCAAGAATACTAAAAAATAACAAAGATGCAGAAGTTTAAAAAGAATGAGATTATCTTAATTTTGTGTTGTAGGAAGGAAATAAAATGAAGGGAAGGGATAAGGGTTAGGAAAAGAAAAGGGAAGGAGAAGAAGGAATGATTGGTATTAGAGCTGGAAAATGGAAGGAAAGAAATGGGTTGAGGATAAATCATGCTAATACACTAATTAAAGTGGGTTATGAAGGAATGGAGAGGTGTAATTCCATCCATTTTCCTTCTCATTTCCTATTTCTCTCTTGCCAAATGAAAGAAAATTTAAAGGAACCTTCCTTCCCCATCCCCTTATACCAAACATGATATAAGTGAAAGAAAACGTAGTATAAGTGTATCATAATGTCAAGAATACTAAAAAATAGTAAAGATGGAAAAGTTTAAAAAGATTGATATTTTCTTAATTTCGTGTGGTAGGAAGGAAAGAAAATGAAAGGATAAGGGTCAGGAAAAGTAAAAGAAAGGAGAAGAAGGAATGCTTGGTATTAGAGCTAGAAGATGGAAGGAAAGAAATGGGTTGAGGATAAATCATGCTAATAAGCTAATTAAATTGGGTTATGAGGGAATGGAGAGGTTTAATCCGATCCGTTTTCCTTCTCAATTCCTATTTCTCTCTTGCCAAATGAAAGAAAATTTAAAGGAACCTTCCTTCCCCATCCCTCCGTACCAAATGCAATATAAGTGATGTGATGCGGAAGTAGGAAACACTAAAAACATAATATATAAAGGCTTGTGGAATTGAAGTTGGAACAAGAACAATAGGGTTTAGGTTTTACGATTTGAGAATAGATAACAAAGGATAGTATGGAAGCTTAATAGCCTAGGAGACTATTTATAAAAAGGGTTTTAACTCATCAACAAAAAAGTACTTTAACTTGTTGCTTTAGCCAACTGCTTAACCTAAAAATCTTTTATATTGACTGCTTTTTCTAAACTTAACTTCCATGTTGAATAAATTTTCGTCGGCATCTTGTTTGCATGGTTGGAAATTGATGAACTTGTTCAAAAATAGTATCCACTTCAATTCTTAATACATCTTTGTTGGATGAGGATGCTTCTAAGCTTTCTAAATGAGAAAGAGTAGAAGAAAGGGCATGTAGACAACTTTTGATTTCATTGCCTTTTTTGAATGACATTCTACTCCACCACTATTAGTACCTAGGTCATGTGTGAGAGCATTTCACCAGCAATTCTCTTTACTATAATCTTGCATTATGCCAATCACAACAAAAATTATGTATTGATCCACCACTTATATGTGTGGGCTCAATGCAAAATTTTGATGGACCCTATACAATGGTAAATTGTGATTAATTAATTGTAGTGCAATAATTGTAGGTGATATGTTGCCATCATGCACTTTTTTGTAAATGACTCTTTGAGTTGGTAAACATCAACATTCTCATTTTGATCATAACCATCATAAATTTATAGTTACACTACGCTTTCTTCAAATCTAGTAAGTTCCACTCATTTTTGTGGACAAGAATAGGATTCATCTTCTCTTCTACCATATCTATACCACTGAATTTGACTTGCTACTTGCTTTAAAAAACTAGAACTATAACTTTTTGCACTCTATAAGTTGTTCCACTCTTCCCCTTGCCACTAACTCCATTTGCCTTGCTAGATGTGGTGGCTTTTTGACTACCTTTTCTTATTGTTTGGCCAGTTTTTTTTTGTTGATCATCTTAAAGGTTAATGACTAGTTGAGTCCCATCTCATCTCTAACCAAGTGACTAAACTTGCAAGATAGCATGAAGTCAACTATTTATTTATTTCTTTTAACCAACCCTAGGATGAAGGTTGTTTAGGTTAGATGTGTACTCCTAAATGACATGCTATTTTGTTTTTGTGAATGAAATTTCTAATACAGTTCCATTGTTTATGCAGCCAAAATAAGTTACTTCCTCATCTTTTCTTTCACATATTCCCAAGTGCCCAGTTTTGGCTTGCCTTATTTCCATTAGATTGCAGTCGCTTTCTATATAAGCTTCACAAGCAACAACTCTCTTTCTTTAGCGGCCAATTTCCATGCAAAATAAAATTTCCAAACTAGCTTCCTGATCTAGATAATACAAGTCATTTCTTCTAGCTTCACTCACATTAAAGTTAGTGGTTTTGTGGCAATTGCTCTTCCAATCCACCATAGATAGCAGATTTGTTGGTCTTGCATCAGGAAAAGGGTTTTCCTCTTGCCCTTATTTAGTTTCATTCTTAAGTCCAGCCTTTCGATAAATCTAAAAGGTCGTGCTAGATTCTCCATTGACATGTGATTGGATTGAAGCATAGCCATCTTGTAATAAATCTTCAATCATACAACTCAACTAAGTCAATTGTGTTTGCTAGGCTTGTTTCATCCTCCCACGAAGTTGCTCTTCCAATCTGCTAATGAATAACAAGATTTGTTGGTTCAACATGTTGAAAAGATTTCTATCTTATTTAATTTCATCTAGAAGTCCACCTAGTAAAATCTATAAGGTCATTTGCAACTTGGGTTGTACATTCGACCGTTGCTATGGTCCCTATAAAGCCTTCACAGCTTGTAATGGACCTTCAATCATATACTTCAACTCAACAATTGTGCTTTCTGGGCTTGATTTCTCCTTCCATGCCATATACCACATGTCTTGCCATGGCTTATTAGTAAAAGTATGGGAGTAGAGGACAATAAAATGAAACATTGAGCTAAAATTGAAGTTGGAACAAGAACACTTGGATTCAGGGTTGCAGAAACAACGAGTAACAGCATTAGGATATTTTATAATTACTTTGAGGAGTCTAGAAGACTAAAATGGAAAATTGTCTGATACGTTACTAGTTGAGTTTTTAAACTCTACTAGTAGGGTTAGAGGGTTGCCACGTACCCGATTAGGGTATATTTAAAAACAATTAACAAAATAATAAATAAGTAATGAGACATGTGGCAATGGTAGTGTATGGAATAATAGTCCATTTCTAATAGGGTTACAATAGCATTTAATTTTCTAGCTTTTGGTGATAAATGATTATCGTCTAATGGAGCAAGTCATTGTTAACTTGTCATATGATCACTTAGGCAATGTTTTATAAATTGAACAAAGGCTAAAATACTAAGTGAGTCCTTGAACTTTTTCATTTTTTATAGGTAAGCTTCTATACTTTTGTTATATCCAAATAAACCTTTAACCTTGGATTTGTTACCCAAATAAAACATTTTTCCTAACAAAAGGTTGATTTTTGTTGTTGTTGCTTGTTGAATATTTTTTCCTCATAGAAGATGATGTAATCCAATTGTGTGGCTGAAAATTGAAAAAATTATTTTTTTAAAGATAAAAAAATTTAATTTATGTACAAATTAAAGATTAAAGGCTTATTTGGGTACAAATTAAAGGTTGAAGGCTTTTTTAAGTATAAATTAAAAGTTAAGAGCTTATTTGGGCACAATAAAGTTATCAAGGTTTACTTAGAAAAATTGGTAAAGTTTAAGGTTTTTTTTTTTTTTTTAATTATTTTAGCTTTGAACAAATTTAATACAATTATGTATTGTGTTTTTAGTTTTGAAAATTTAGGTATTGCATTTATGATATAAAAATTAAATGTTTAGTAGATTTTTGTGTTAATCTTTATAAAAAATTCATACAATTTTATAAAATATTTTCAGTTGTTATAAGAGTTGGAAAAGGAAAAAAAAGGATAAAAGGAAAGAATATAAGATTAATGTAATTAAATAATAATTTTTTAAATGAAGTTGATTTAATACATTAAGTAGCTTTACATTTTGAACAAATTTTCGTTGAAAATCTTCCATTAAGTGGTTTCTAAAAATGAATTATCAAATGCATTAAAAAAAAAATAGAACTCGAAAATTTTAAGTGGTTTATCAATCACTATAAATTTTCTCTCATGTTAAACCATATTTAATAAACCGGCTTAGGGTCTATGAAACTTTTATAGATTCATACCTTTTTTATCTAAAGTATATAGATTTTAAAGTGTAGATGGAAATTACCAAATTGCCCATGTTAAGATAAAAGGTTTAAAGGAGGTATTTTTGTCTCTTGGGTTGGAAGGGTTATTTATTTATTATTGTTTATGTGTATTTTTTTTTAATTGCAAAATTTTTTTCTTAAAAATGAAGGTGAAATAGTTTGTGTCTATATATGTCTTTGATCAGTCAATTCATATATTAAAACAAATTTTAAAAAATAAATAAATATTTATAAATAAAGCTTTGATGATAAAATATTACACAAATTTCAAAAAAAAAGCAAAAATTACATAATAAATCTAATAATTCTAGAAAGGAATCATTTTGAGAAGAAATTAGAGTAATGATTTAATAAATCAAAATTTAGGATAATAATTAACCATAGTAAAAATTAAAAATAAAATTTCCCTTTATTTTGTTACAATTTTTAATTTTATAATTTATGATTAAATAGTTTACAGTTTGAAAATAAAGAAAATACAATACCATTTGTATAGCATAAATAGTAAACAACTAAAATACAATCTCAATATATTAATTATTAAGTGCAAATATTTCCCTTTTTTTTTTTTTTTTTAACTTGATATCGTTATGGTATTTCATGTTAAAATTATTTTATTACTTTATGTGAAAAATGATCATTAAATATATAAAAAATTAATGAATAATAATTACATAAAAAGATTATTTATACTCTTTTGAAATAAAAAAATTGTGACCATAGACATAGTCGGGTAATCCAATATTAAGGCATTAATTATTCTTATCCTTTCTATTTATTGATTAAATTTTCTAAAATACACATTCATTAAATGCTTAAAAAAATCCATATAATCAAAAAAGCATTAAGGATATTGATTAATATTGGCTAAAAGCAATTTTATTTTATTTTTAATGATTACAGTTGCTGCCACGAAGCATGCATACTTTTCTAGTTTTAATTAAATCGGTTATATCATTTTTTTACTATTAATAAATATCTTTATTGATAATAAATTCACTTAAACTTCAGTTATATCATTTTTTTCCTGTTAATAAATAGCTTTTAATGATAATAAAGTAGTCTTAGTGTACTAAAATAATCATTACCTGATAATAGCTTTTACAAGCATTATCTTAGTTAATGTCTGGATTATTAATTTATTAATATTTACAAGCACAAATGGTATCAAATTTATTGAACATATAACTTAGATGTAAAATAAAAACATAATTACCAACCATAGACTAAAACCATTTGGCCAAAAAAAACAGTAGACTAAAACAAAATAACCTACTTAGGAGAGCATATCAGAATAACCAATGTAAGAAAGTTTTTGAATGCTATTCCATTATTAAGGATAACCTTAATCTTATTGGATGTTTATCTACTCTCTTCTCTTTCATTTATTCTCATTTCCACTTAACTTCTGTTTTATTTTCTTTTTTAACATTTTCATTCATTTTCTTTTAGTGTTTTGATGACATTATCTCTAATAAACCTTAATTTGGGATAATGATTCTGAGTGGAGTGTTAGGAACATTATTTTAGATGTTGAAAATGATTGTTATTTGTTATGTTAGAGTTGGCAAGTGTTACAGTTTACCAAAGAGACCAAAAGATAGTGTTCGAGGTTATTGTAATTGTTGTCTTAGCTATATCTGGAGCAATAACTCTGGTCCTTATTTAGGGTTAGGATAGGCTGAACTTGGATAAATGTGTATTTAGAGGATGCCAATGAATTGGCTTTCATCTCACTTTCCTCTCTTCACACTCAATATTATAAACCATAGTATTGACACTTTGGATTTCATGTTTCTGTTAAGAAAAGTGCCTTTGCCAAAAATATGTAGCTAATTTTGGTGAATGCCAATAAGGGATGCTTCAGGAGAGTTCCCTGCAAGTTAAAGGTGCTACTGGAGTTGGAACCATGAGTTTGGAAAGATCGAAGTTGCGGACACTGATGTCTTGAAAAGATCAGAGCATTTGATTATTACTTATAAATTTTTATTGGTTCAACTTATTATTCTATCAATATAAGGACTTGATTAATCTTTCTCCTTGTTGCATGAGATTTTCTATCTCATCCTTCTCTGTTAGTTTTTGGAGATGTTTATTTATTCTTTTGGAAAATTGCTGGAGATGGATAAGCTTTACTTAAGGATGTTTTATATTGCGTTTTGATTCAATTTTCTTTCTAATGGAAAGATAAGAAGATGTTTCATGATGTTTTTGCAGGTGCTACATGAAATAGAAGAGAAAGCAGTAGTCATTATGGATGAAAGAGGTATTATGCTCATTCATGGTTGATGATTAGTAATTGCAAATTTAGTGACGAAAGAATTTGATCTAGCACTTTTTTTCCTTTTTCATTGTAAAATATGTTGGATTTATCTATGTTAATTATGAAGATGGAGATGGTAGCTCTAGAATTAAATTCTGCTCACTTGTTTTGAAACTCTCCTTTTTTTGCATCCTGCTCTACATGTTACTGACAATTGATGCAGTCTATAGATGAGTAATGCTATTTTTATAAAACAAATTTTGCGTGTATGGTATGCATTGATCAAACAACTGTTTTACATTGACCTTCTCTAAACAGCAAAGTTGTTCTTGGCTTAAGTTTTACCTGCTAATATGATTTAGTGTGATGTGTGTGCTGGTATGGTTTGCACTAGTTTGGAAGTATTCTATATATTCTACACAAGATTACTATTTTTCTACCTTTTGGTGTTGACTACAAAAATATGTTAGATCTTACATTTGAAAAAGGGCTTTGATAATTTTTTGGTTTTGTCATTCAATTCTTGGTACAATATGCTTCTGGTTACTCTATTATATGCTTCAGTTAGCTTATCACGTTGAAGTTCTTGGTCCTTCAAAAAACTTCTTATTTGTAATGTCTGCTGCTGTTAGAAAGTGCCATCTGGTATGTCTTTAAATGACCAAAAGTAATGGCAGCATCCTGCTAACTGTGATAAAAGTTTTCAAATGTCTTTTTATAGAGGAGTTGACTTTATGTTTGCATGATCAAAGGTAGGATATTATGATTGGATTCAATCAGGATCTTGGTCTTGATGCAATTGATTTCTGTGCAGCGGAATATGAGAGAATGCTTGAGGCATACTCTGTAGTCAACCAGAAATTGCAAAATTTTACTTCAGAACGCTCAAATTTAGAGAAGATAATACAGGAATTAAAGGTGTGTGGTTTTTTCCTTCATTTGTTGCTGCTTTCGTCTTTATTATGGATGTCTTACGTGGATTTGTTCAGGTTGATTTGAGGAGGCATGAACGAGACAATCATCTGGCTCATAAGGAAATTACTGATCTTCAAAAGCAGGTAATGGAAAAATTGCCCATATTTTGATGCTTAATGAGCTATTAATTTTTTTTTCAGCATTTAAGAGGAAATTATATACATTATAAATAAGGAGGATTATTTTCTTCTTTTTCAAAAAATTTTTTTTTTTTCTCCTCTTTAAAGGATAAAGTGCCTATATTTTTATGCTCAACTAGCAATTAAACTTCTTTGCAACAGTTAAGATGAAAGTTTCTCTATTGTTAACAAAGGGAGTTTCTCTTTATTTTTTAAAAATATTCTCGCTTCATTTTCCCCCAATTCTTTTATTTTTCTTACTTTCCCTTTTATCTCCTCAATTTTCCTTTTTATCATCTTCTCACCCCCTTCCTCTCCTTTTACTCTTCCTCTGTTTTCTTTTCTTCAGTTATCTTTTCCCTCTTGATCTTATATTCCCCATTTTTTTTTTCTTTTTATTATTTTTTAATTTTTGTTCTTCTAGTAGTTGAAAAATAACAACTACAATATATTTTTGTGATGATTTTGCATTTTATGTGTTATAAAGTTTTAATTAGATACATTCTTGATGTATGTATTCAGTCTATCGGGTGTCTATGGTCTACACACCCATCTTTATGTAACTAAAATTGTGCTTCTTTGTCATCTAATCAGAGCACAAAGTTGGTTATGAGATTGTCTATGATGAAAGTTGCTATCTTTATTTGTGCATATGACATGTAGTTGTGGTAAGAAAGGTCTAGGGATGTTAACATGAGCTTGGAGTTGTCCACTTATAGACATTCTATGCTCACAAGTGTGATCTTAATAAACTTTGACCTATGCTAATCCTTTTTTACTGGATCATAATGCACTAGGTGACGGTTCTTCTTAAGGAATGCCGTGACATACAACTACGTTGTGGACCTATCGGACATGATTTTTCTGGTGATGATGCAACCGTTGCTGCTGCTGATATGAGTGTGGAGCCTAATGTTGACAAAGTTATTTCAGAAGTGAATAGACTTGAATCTTTAGCTAGAGTTTTTCTTCTCTTTAGATCATCTTCCTCTTTCTTTCCCCCAATTATAATGGTCATTATCTCATATCTATTTATTTGCAATGATTTTAACAGTTGACATTTAAGGATATAAATGGATTAGTTGAGCAGAATGTTCAACTTAGGAGCCTTGTGCGTGATCTCTGTGACCAGATCGAAAATAAAGAGATGGAGTTCAAGGTAACTAGAATTTCTTATCTTTCTATAGAGAAATTGGTTTATTTAGTTGATATAAAACAAATAGGGTCAAGATAAAGATAACAGAAATTTAGAGGGAATATCAGAGATAGATAGAAGCAAATAGAAACAAAGAAATATTTAGAGAAATAGAAGACTTGGGGGAGAAAACCAGAAATAGTCAATAGAGACAGAAAAATCACAATACTCAAATGTTTCAAGATCTCAAATATCATCATCCCGGAACCTTATCAAAGCCTCAAATATCATGTATTTATAAGCTACATCATAAAACCTAAATAACATGAATACCAAAATAACCCTGATTAAAATAACCCTAATAGAATTAAAAGACTAAGTGATTCTCCCCCATTGGTTCACAGACATATAAAAAAGAAACTATTTGACAAGTAGTTGTGGTTGAAAATATGGGACTGCAGGAAAAGTTGGAAATGGAGCTCAAAAAACAAACTGATGAAGCTGCATCTAAAGTTGCGGCAGTGTTACAAAGAGCTGAAGAGCAGGGGTGCATGATTGAATCACTGCATACCTCTGTGAGTCTCTTTGTGGCTTATATTCTCTGGTATTTTTCTTCTTGAGTGTGCTTCATGTTTTGCCTTTGTTAATTCTTATTTCTCTATCATTCTTCTAATGTATAGGTTGCGATGTACAAAAAGTTATATGAGGAGGAACATAAGCTTCATCTGTCTTATTCCCCTGCAACAGAAGCAGCTCCAGGTTCTGTCTCTACCCATCTTGTAATTTTTCTTTTATTTGGTTGGACTATCGTTTGGCCAGGAGCATTGCTATTTCAAGTGTATTTAGTGGGCAAGTGAAGATAGAAATGATGTGTTTGATGACAATGGAAAATTGGTAGTCTGTGAGTGATGAGGATTTTTATCTGTTATTTGATGTTTTAGTTAATCTCATTTGCCCAAAATCAGTATAAATGTTATGGATAATAGTTATCCAACAACTTTGTCGACGAACAAAGTGGTTATGCTTGCTAGTTGTGCCAGGTCCCCTTATGAAAACTTTTACCTGATGCTAATTGGTTGAACTTGCTTCTCATTTGTAGTTAATTTTCATTATTTCTTTGCAATAGAAAAAAAAAAAAAACCACCCTCATTGATGCATCATCTAGTAGAAGGGTTTTGTGATTGGGTTGTTGACTTAGATTTTGGATTGGTATGTAGTAATTTCTTGAGGTGTAACTTATTATGATGGTTAACATTGAAAAACTGTTTACAGGACTTCGAGTACAAGATACACTTGATTTATTTAAAAGATAGAATAGAATTTCCAATAATGCCAGGTCATTAATGGTTTCTTCTATGTTTCTAGTGGTCTTATTAGTGGTTTCTTTTATGTTTCTAGTGGTCATAGGCTTAAAAAATAGCTATCTCAAAATGATTGTTAGGCTTGTGGCAGAAAAGGAAATAATAAAATTGACGGATAAGCATTGTTTTACTGTGGACAAACTTGAATTGCATGCATTATTTGTTAGCCTGACTTGCATATAAGTTTAACATTTATGATTTCTTTTAATTTTTATCCTGTTATAAATATTAGAATTTCTTTTTCTTTTGGTCTTCTTTTTGAAATTTTAGTGTTTTCATGATAGTCTTACATCCGTTAGGATGTATTTTGAGTTCATGTTTTACTTTCGTTTCGCATTTTTTCTGCTTTGCACTATCTTTTGAAAATTTATTTATCTATAGAAATAATAATTAGAAATAGACGCATTATTGCAGTTTGTGGAAGGAAGGATCTCTTGCTTCTTCTTGAAGGTTCCCAGGTATCAATATTGGCTCTATTTCTGGCTTTGTGGGTGGAAGGTGTGGGGGGGGGGGGCAGGGGGAGGATGAGTGTGCCTGTTATATTTGCTGACATGCTGTATCCATATAATATATAAAACAGGAAGCTAGTAAGAAAGAGCAAGAAAAAGCTGCTGAACGTTTAAGATGCCTTGAAGAGGATCTAGCTAAGGCCAGGTATGTTCTTGTTATATTTTTTCCAGACTCATTTGTGGTCTTTGTTATAGGCTTTAAAGTAGAATTTTTTTGGGGATGTTATCTGTAAATTAGGTCTATGTGTCATATAGTCAAATGAGTGTCGGTAGGAGTTCCTATTTCTTTTAGGATAAGGGATGCTAGGAACCTATATAAATCAATGTACTCTTAGTATTGAGATATAGTCATATGGGTGTTGTTTTGTGATTTTGTGATGCTATCAACCTTAGATGTGACTGTTAGGAAACCCTAGGTTGAAGCTTAGGAATTTCTTTTTTACCCTTTTCTTTATCTAAACTTTCCTACTTTTCTCAAGTATTCAGATTAAAGTAGCCCCCAATCCTAACCTCCTAACCATCCTATGTTAATTAAGTCTCTTTATTTGTTTGTTATTTATTTCTCTTTAAGCAGGGGTTCAGTGTGTATTTGTTGGCATGTAGTCTATGCCTTAATTTCACTCGCATTATGTAGTTTTTGTGTACTCATGTAGGTTTAACTTTTCAATGAGGAAGTAAACATTTTCTTTTTAAAATTTTAATATTTCCTGTTGATAGTCAACTCCCTTATCGTTAAGATGCAGTTTTTTTTTTTTTTTTGCTACTTTATAAGAAAGAAGGCAGTGAAATGCTTAACTGTACTATGTAGTTTTTGTGTACTCATGTAGGTTTAAGTTTTCAATGAGGAAGTAAACATTTTCTTTTTTAAATTTTAATATTTCCTGTTGATAGTCAATTCCCTTATTGTTAAGAGGCAGTTTTTTTTTTTTTTTTTGGCTACTTTATTAGAAAGAAGGCAGTGAAATGCTTAACTGCTTAACTGTACTATATCAGCAGACTTTATGGCCATAAATCAGCAGCTGAAGCCTCCTTTAAAAGCTATTTAAAATACAGAGAAGCTAAATAAAATTAAATTGACAATCCTTACACTTCTTGATGATTATTTCTTAAGTTTCCTGTGCAGATTATGACTAGTTTAAATGTATCAGTTTAAAGCCCCTCATCTTGTTTAAATGTATCTGCTAAATACATTCTGTTGATTTAATATTTCTCTTTCTTTTGCAGCTGCTAATAACCTTAATAGTCACTTGTCTATAGCAACTTTTCTACTTGCATTATTGTAGTGTTACAAATGATCTGTTGCTGCAAATTCTTGTAGCAGAGTTCACTGTTGGATTATTTGGGTCATTGTCATTCTTGTGCTTATTAATAATGGTGTTTGATGCAATTGTAATGCAAAGTCACCTTCTCTAATTCCTTTTTGTTTTTACTTGGTGAAACATCTTATTATTAGCTTTTATGTTATCTTTTATTGACAGGGCTGAGATTATATCTTTACGGTCGGAGCGTGACAAGTTGACTCTTGAAGCGAATTTTGCAAGAGAGAAACTGGAAAGTGTCATGAAAGAAGCTGAGCGTGAGGTAATTAGTGCCATCATATCCTTTATATCCTTATTTTTATGGAAAGTGCTCTCTACAACGACGAACTAAGCCTTATATCTCATAACTCTAGAGTCGGTTGTATGAATGGCCAAAAAAAAGAATCATGTTAGGTCGTAGTTTTGAATCTTCTTGTGCCACTTATTTCTGTAAAAAGGTCTTTTCATCTACTTCTTTAACCTTATATGATCTCTTATTACTTACATCCACTTCTTTCATGGTCTAACTCTAGAAGCTTTGGTCTCTCTCAAATTTAGAAGCTCATTTCTCCTAACTGATGCACAGATAGGCCTACGTTTCACATGTCCAAATCATCTCAAAAGGACCTCTCATCTTTTCCTCAATTTGGACTAACCCTAAATTTCCTTGAATCTTTTTATTTTTGATTTTATCTCTTTTATTCTTTCCACATCCGTTTAAGCATCCTCATCTCCGTTATGTTCATTTTTCTCTCATGTTGTTTCTTAATGGATAACAATGCAGGCCCTACTGTTGTTTTAGACAACTTTGTCTTTAACTTGAAAGACATGTTGCAATCACACAACGCAATTGATGCATTTCGCCATCTCATCCATCTTGTTTGAATTCTATGATTTACATTCCTCTCTATCTTACCATTGCTCTGAATAATTGATTCCAAATATTGAAAATGACTACTTTTTGGTATTACCTCACCATCCTACTTAATCACATTACCACTCGTTTCCCTATGACTATTAAACTTAAATTTCATATATTTAGTTTTAGATCTACTCAATTTAAAGCCTTGAGACTCCAGTGTATGCTCATAATTCCAATTTTTCATTAATATTATCACTAGTTTTGGCAACTAAGACTATATCATCAGCAAATAACATACAACATGACACTTTATCTTAGATATGTCTAGTAAGCTTATCTATAACTAATGCAAAAGGAAATTGATTTAATGCTGACCCTTGATGGAATCTTAAGGTATTGGGAAAGCCATCAGTCAAGTTCCCAGATGTTCTCACATTCGTAACAACTCCTTTATACATTTCTTTAACTATGTTAATGTATTTTAAAGGAATCCCTTTCTTCAATAAGGTCAACCAAAGCACCTTTCGGAGAACTTTATTGTATACTTTCTCCAAATCGTTAAATATCTTATATAAAATTTTCTTTCTCGCCTGAAAACCCTTTAACAAAAGCCTCAATAGGTGAATTGCCTTTGTTGTGGAGCATCTTGGCATAAATCCAAGTTGGTTTTTCGTAAATAATGACTTCATGTCAACTTACATTCAATCACTCTCTCCTAAAGTTTCATAGTATGGCTCCTAAGTTTTATTCCTTGATAGTTAGAACAATTTAATATATCACCTTTATTCTTGTATAAAGGCACTAGAATACTCTTTTTCCATTCTTCTGGTATCTTTTGAGTACGTCAAATTTTGTTGAAAAGATCCGTCAACCATCATATTTCTATTTTATCCAAGTATTTCCAAACCTCAATCGGGATTCGATTTTGGTCTTTTACATCTTTCTTTGCTTTCATCCTTATCAAAGTCTTTTTAACCTCAAATGTTTTAATATTATATTTGAACACATGATTTATATCCTTAAAAGGTATGTTAAATTCACCTATATCATGCTAAAAATTGCTATTAAAGAGATTATCAAAATAATCTCTCTATTACTTTTTAATCTTCTTATCCTTACGCTAAAACTCTGTCCTCTTTGTCTTTGATACATTTTACGCTATTAAGATCTCTATTATTCTTATCCTTCATTTTAGTAAATTTGAAAATCTTTGTTCCTCCATCTCGTCTCTAGTTTTCTATATAATTCCTCATTTATCCTAGTTTTTGAATTTCAAATAACCTTTTTGCTTTTTTTTTTTTTTTATGTTGTCTTATACTTTAGATAACTCATTTCGTTCCTATTGCTCCTTAAATTCTTATAACACTCCCGCTTAGCTTTAATTATTATTTTCACATCCTCATTCCACCACTAAGATTATTTTCCTAATGGTGCACATCCTCTAAATTCACCAAATTTCTCTTTACCAACCTTTGAATTTTGGTAGAAAAATTTTTCCACATTTCTTCTACATCCTCATCAGGTTTCTGATCAACCCTTTTTACCAACCTATCTCTAAAAGATAACATTTTGTCCCCCTTAAAATTCCACCACTCAATACGTGGTTCTTGATTTTGACGTATCCTTTTTAACCCTCGGAGGTGAAAGACATCTAGAACTAGCAATGTATATTGTGTTCTCACACTTTCACTCGATATAACCTTGTAATCCTTACAGCTACTTTTTTTCTCTTTCCTCATAAAAAAGAAATCAATTTGACTAGCGTTTGAGCCACTCTTAAAAATCACCAAATGTGATCTATTTTCCTAAAACATGTGTTTAATATAGTTAGGTCAAATGCAGTAGCAAACTCTAGAATATTAACATTGGTATCGTTTCTTTTTCCAAAGGCATATCCTCTATGCACCCTTTCAAAGTCACTACAATCTTGCCCTACGTGACCATTAATGTCTATTCTAATAAAAAACTTTCTCTGTTTGGTATAACTTGCACTACTTCGTCTAAATCTTTTCAAAATTTTTTCTTACTTGCTTGATCCAAACCTATTTGTAGGGTATAAGCACTAATGACATTAACAGTTTCTTTTCCTAACATAAGTTGAATATATAAAATTCTATCTCCCTTTCTTTTAACCTTAGCCACATCATTCTTCAAATTCTTATCTACAATTATTCCCATTCCATTTCTACTCCTATATTTACTTGTGTATAAAAGCTTAGAGCCCCGTGTTTCTATCTCTCTAGCCTTTTCCTTACCCATTTAATTTCTTGGAGACACATATCATAACCTCTCCTATCTCTACTAGCTTATCAGTTAATGATCCTATATTACAAGTAGCAAAGTGTAACTTAATCCTCATGGAAAGTGCTCTCTACTCTTCAAATTTCTGTCTTGGTTTTTGTTTAGTTTATGTATGTTGAAATTTACATGTTAGTGTTGACATTCAGTTCTTTTTTATTGCATGTGGAACATCACAGAGGGATGAAATCCATGGTGTTCTGGCGAGAAATGTGGAGTTCTCACAATTAATTGTTGACTACCAAAGGAAGCTACGTGAAAGTTTTGAATCTTTAAATGCTGCTCAGGAGCATTCTCGGAAATTGACAATGGAGGTAATTGTTGTGTTTTGAAAACTGTCATTCTGACTTGCCAATGTATTGTGTTTGGCAAACTTTGTCGTTCTGACTGTTGCCAATTTTGCTGTTTATACATTTTGTTCTCATCAGGTGTCTGTATTGAAACATGAAAAAGAGATGCTAGCAAATGCTGAAAAGAGAGCATGTGATGAAGTTCGCAGCTTGTCAGAGAGAGTTCATCGACTGCAGGTTTATATTGTTATTGATTTGGGCTTAATTTCCTTGTTGCTTTTAAACTTAATTTCACTTATTTTAAAAGTTTCTATAAAACCAAAGCAAATGATAAAAACAAAATCATAATTGATTAATGAACTAATGACTAAAATTAAATACTAATTTTTATATAATTGTTCTACATAACAGTCAAATCATAAAATTTTTTATCAAAAATTTCATTTTATTTCTTGAAAAATATTGTTTGCATTTTCTATCTGAGCACTTTGTTTTGTTGTTTCCAAAAGCAAAAAGCAAGAAAGAAAAGAATCAACCCAAACTTTGTTTCTTTCACATTTGATCAGTACCAATAAAAATTCTAATGTAATTGTATGCAGGCTAGCTTGGATACTATCCAGAGTGCAGAGGAAGTTCGTGAGGTAACAAGCTTTAGTTATTTTATTTTGAATATATCTTTGTTCCCTCATCTGTACTTACTTGACAAGTATTTTGGTTGTATCACACTGTTATCTAATTGTGTTGTAGGAAACAAGAGCTTTGGAGAGAAGAAGGCAAGAAGAGTATATTAAACAAATAGAGGTGTGTCATGTCGGGTTTATTTTGCAACATTAACAACATCTTATGGAAAATTTTGGGTGGGTGTATTTGGTAACTTGAAATGTTCTCTTATATTGTTCTTGATGTAATCAGTGTTGTTAAGGAGCTGTGCCTTAACGTACCTCACACCCTTTTGGGCATGGCACTTTTGATCAGGTGCACGATTGATGCGCTTAGGCGCACTTTTTGTAAGGCTGAAGGCACAAAAAGGCCTACCTGATTGAAGTGTCTCTTTTGATTTCTTTTTCTTACTGTCTATCCTTGTTATGGGCTGTACCTTTTAATGGTAGAAAAAGGGCCAATCTTGAAACTCAGTTTTGAGTATTCAGCAACGGACTTGAGACCATAAGGAAATCAAGGCTCATATCTCTCTTCAGTTGAAAAAGGTGCGTTTGATATCTTATCTTGATTATTCTCTCTCTTCCCCTTCTCTTCCATTCAATTATTTTATTTGATCAAAAGTTGTCTCATCTTTCTGTAGACGTTTTCTATCTTCTGTATTTTCATTTTCCTTTCTTACCTATTCTTTTCTTAGATCTTTTTCTTTACTAAAGCACATAAATATGCATCTGTTTTAATCTTTCAAAACAAGGGGCATATCCCTCTGTTATCGTGTGTTAGAAGAGGGGCTTTATTCCACTGTTTTAATATGTTTCTTTTCTGTTTTAATGACAAAAAATTAGAACTTTTTCCCCATAATTCTGATTACCTAAAAGCAGAGCATATAGATTCAACTTTTCTTCCGTAAATATAAACTTTTTCTACCATGTATTTTTCTTCTTCCGACTATTTTTGGACTGGGGTTAGTAAAGGACAGCAAAGGAAAGGAAAGGAAAGGAAAAGAGGGGTTTTTAAAGGAAAGGATCTTTCATTCCCTTGTTTGGATAGCTAAAATGAGTATTGGAGAGGAAGGGACTGATCACAACTTTGGTTTGGTTAAGCTGTGGAAAGGAAAGGATGTATTATATTACTCTGCTCAAATTATACTCTTTCAAAAGTAAGTGTTTTTTTTTTATCATGTTAATAATCTTGACATTAATTATTTTAAATAATTTTGAAAGTTAATGAAAGAAAAATAATGTCAATTAAAAAGAGTATTTTTAACAATTAATCCATAAAAGAATGTATGGAATTATTGGTATACAATGATATTTTTTTTTCTTTTCAAAATTAATCCATTAATGAGGAAATTCAATAACTTAAATATTTATTATTAAGAGAAACTTAACCATAAACTTCTATAAATATCAGCATTTTCCTACAATTGTATGTGTTTGGTCAAGTTCTAATTTTTCTTTTTAGAATTTGTGAGGTGACAACAAAATGAAAAAAATTTATACCCAAGTGTAAATTAAAAAAAATTGTAGAAGTTGAAGATATTGACCAAAAAAAGTTGATGAATGAGTTGTTAAAGATTTAAAGGCTGTATCAATGGTTGAATATCATAGTGGTGTTCTTGAAAATTGGAAAATAATAAGGGCATAGAAGTTATTTTACATTTTAAAAAAATTTTACTCCTTTCCTTTCCTCTTTGTTTACTCCTATTTGGGGTAATTTGAAAATGGAGCTTTTGAGAGAAAGTGAGGGGTGCTCAACCCCCTTTGCCTTTATTTTAATTTATATGATGATAACCAAATAAGGGAAAAGTTTCCTTCCTTTCCTTTCCCCCCTCCCCTCAATTCAACATAGTGTAAAGGTATTATAATGACATTTTTTTTTTTTGTCGGTGCAGGAAGTATCAGACAGCAGCAATTGTCAATAATAAAAGCCTAGGTGGAAGTACGATATTCTAAAATATCTCCATTGGAGCCAAATTTTGTCGCATCCAATCATGCTTGTTTTGTAGAGTCATATTGAACGTATTAGGCAACTAAATGAAGCAGTTTGTTACAAAAATATATCTGAAGCTTATTATGCATAACACATAAGAGTTTTTCCTTCTGGGTGTTTATGTACGAATTATACATACATACACATATACATATGTATGTATGTTGCATACCTACATACAATGTATGAATGTGTATGGGTGTGTGTCGCTTTACTCCACTAGGGTGAGAGAGGTATGCATGCATGCATCTCCACTTAGGTAGTGTCTGTGTGGGTGTATGCATGCTTCACTGGAGCGAGAGCTCTTTTTTTACCCTAGCGCCTTGGGTGATTTAAGGGTTCTATCTCCTAGAGTATGCTTTGTGCTTCTGACAACACTGGATGCAATTGGTTCTTTTGTATCTTTTCTCTTGATTTCTTTTTGTGTTCCTTTAATTACATTTTAACTTTCCTTTGTATCTATGAATAAAAGGGGGATTTTGGGGGGGGGGGGGGGACTTTGCTATGGCATGGGTGTGGATGTGTGATGTAGGTTTTCATGAAAGTCTGATGTTTCTTATCATCAGTTTAGAAATAAGTTTGGAATGGGATATCTGCGAAATCTAGTAGCACTGCCTGAAGCATCTCTTGCTTTAGTTGATTGGTCAAATATTTTTTGAAGGAATTTTATTTGCTGTCCTTTGGCATTATTCTGCTTTCTCAAAAATTGCTGATGTGTTTCTTTCCATGACAAACTTTTTTGCCCAACTAAATTTTATAGAAAGAATGGGCTGAAGCTAAGAAACAGGTGCAAGAAGAGAGGGATAATGTTCGTACTCTCATGTCTGACCGTGAGCAGACTCTGAAAAATGCCATGAAACAAGTTGAAGAAATAGGAAAAGAATTAGCTAATGCTTTGCATGCTTGTGCTGCTGCTGAGGCGAGGGCTGCTGTTTCTGAGGTAATGTCATATGTTTAAACTCTATTTGAATTATTGCACTGCAGTTCCTATCTGCTCTAGGAGTTATATGTGCATTTTTTTTTTGCAGTCATTGGAGAAATATTTTTCTTTCTAAAGGAGTTTTTGTTCTGATTGTTTTTCTTAAAATATATTTTTATCAGGCCAGACTCTCTGATCTGGAGAAAAATCTTAAATCTTCTGATGCTAAGGTAATGTTCTCTATATTCTTATGTTAGGTAATTACTATTTTACCACTTTAGATGTTTTCTCCCTGTGAAGTGTATTATTTCTTTTCTGTTCTTTGTACTGTATTTTTAGAGATTTCTCTATCAGTAGTTGTTTTATTCTGTCTGCAACTTTGTTGTTTAGAGTGGTCTTTTAAGGGTTGTTTTCAGCCTCCAAACACTTTGCTTTGACTACTTTCTGATATTCTGTCCCCCTATCTGTTTTTGGCGTTGGGGTAAATTCTCATCTATTCATATCTCTGTAACCTCCTAAGCTAGATTTCAATCTTATATTTGAGATCAAAGTTGGGCCTTGGAGCACTTTTGGCTTTTATTCTATGACCTCTGCTGACTGCTATTAAACTTTCACCATTTCAGTGCCCAAAATATCTGTTAAATAATTGAAAGGGAAAAGGAGCATTAATTGAATGTAGGCAAATGGTAATAAATTCAACGCCAGCCTGGGTTAAGTTTTGCGGGGTTTGAAGGATTGGCGAAAATGGTTTGCTATATGGATGTATCAAGAGATTAATTTGGGAAAAGCCATTATTTATAGCTTTTGAGTGTTATTTCTTCTAGGCTTCAATCATATGTATGTGTTGTTGCTAGAACACAAATTCTAATGAGGCCCACAGAAGCTAATTCTGATTAGTTTCTACATCTGGAACTAATTATTTTTATTATATGCATGGAGGCATATGGACCTTGAGTGACACTACTGAGGTATCCTTTTCTGATTCGCCATTCTAAGTAGTCATTCCCAAGGTTTGAACATCATACCTTCCTATTGAAAGTCTCAAATTCTAACAACCGGTTTGTCTACTTTGCCACTGCATCAGTATTTGGAATCATTTTATGAATTAGTAAACATTTAGAACACCATTTTCTTCTATCTCATCTGCAGTATGCTCTTGATCTCCTGTAACTCATGGTTAATTTTGATTTGCTGATGTACGATATTTGGATATTGGTAAAATACTTATTTTTTCTTTCCCAAATTGTCATTTACTACGTTTTTCCCATTCTTCCTCCTCTCTTCCTCCCTTTCTTTTTTTTATACATTTTCATAAAGGATTTTTTTGCATTGTTTGGTATGTCTTCTTTGTATCTGATTTGGCTTTCTTGGCGATTATTTGCTGGTACTCTGATGCAGATTTTGGCAATAGATGGTGTTACTGGACCATCCTCTATTTCAACAAATGAGGTCAGTGTTTTTCATGTATCGGTTTGATTCGTTTTTAATGAGGTGTCTGTATTATGTTTCATTGCCAGTGCTTTCTGCTTGTAACATCGTGTATGGCTACTCTGGCATTTGATTTTTTTCTGAGCCAAAACCATTGTTGGAATATTTTTTAAATTGTTAAACAACCAAGTTTCATTTTTCCAGAAGAAAATTGAAAGAACAGTTGAAAAGTAAATACAGCTATTTGAAGGCGACACATAAACTAAGTTCCAGTGTACCATTCTTAATACCTTTATTAAGGCATTTTCTTTTTTCCTCAAAAAAAAAAAAAAGAATAGTCAAACTTTCCTTGTACATACTACTTTTGACTTAGTTGCATAGCTCCTAGAAACCAATATGAATGCAGATCCTTTTCTTGTAAGAAGAGACTTTCAAGATTCTGGTGTTTGTAAGTTCTTATCATGATTGTCTTAAATCATAAAATATGAGAGAACTCTCTATGCTTAACAGATATTCTTGTGTGTTGTAAATGTTCATTGGATTAAAAACCTGGCTCATTTAGTTCAAAGCTTCCATGTGTACTGTTGAAGTTCTTTATGTGGAATTTTGTATCTATTATTTTGCTATGTTTATTCTGTGTTTGTAAGACCAAGTATCGTACATAAAACTAGCAGCGGAAAATGTTGAAGGCAAAGCGACATCTGATGCAAGCTGAAACTTGGACAATTAATACCAAAAACAACTGGATCAAAACTAAGTCTAAACTCGACTTGACCTGATTTTATTCACGAAATCTAGACTTGATCTGATAAAATCTGGTAACATAGTGAATCATGTCTATTCACCTTGACTACATCAATTAATATGCGTTAGTTCTATAAAATATATTTTTCGATTTCTGAGAAGAAACATCTTAAATTAATTCTATGAATTCCGTGTTAAAATGTGTTGCTGTATTTGAATCGTGATTGCATTTGATTGAAAATTTTTTTGATCTGTAATTCTGTATATTCTTGCTCTCCCTAGTTTCACTGCTGATGAATTTAATATTGTGTTGATTTTGGTTCTAATGTTGGTTTCCTGGTTTGTGTAAACATCTGATATTCACTTGACTATGTCAATTAATGTTTCTTAGTTCTATAAAATATATATTTTGATTGCTAAGAATAAACACCTTAAATTATCTCTCTGGATTCCGTGTTAGAATGTGTTGCTGTATTTGAATTATGATTGAATTTGATTGAAATCTTTTTTGATCTGTAATTCTGTATGTCGTTGGCCTCCCGAGTTTCACTGATGATGAATTGAATATTGCGTTAATTTTGGTTCTAATGTTCATTTCCTTGGTTTGGGTAAATGTCCAATAGGTTGCAGAATTGCCGATGGCAAAGGAAGAGATGGAGAAACTAAAGGACGAAGTAAAAGCTAACCAGGATCACATGCTACAGGTTGTTGTCTACATTGTGAGCTTTTAAGATTTTAACGTAGTTGAAATTATGTCATAGCATGACATGTTGCTTTGCAGTATAAGAACATAGCACAAGTGAATGAAGCTGCATTGAAGCAAATGGAGCTTGCACATGAAAATTTCAAGATTGAGGTATTCTGCAATATTTAATATTTTGGCTGATGAACTTTTTGTAAATGGTTAGCTGATCTGCTATATATATAATTCCTTTTTCTTTAATTTGTTAGGCTGAAAAGTTGAAGAAATCTTTAGAAGCTGAGCTTGGTTCACTTAGAGAGAGGGTTTCTGAACTTGAGAATGAATCTTCTTTGAAATCAGAGGAAGTTGCCTCTGCAACTGCAGGAAAGGAACAGGCTCTTTCATCTGCATTAGCAGAAATTACAAGTTTAAAGGAGGAAGCCGCAGTTAAAAGGTCGAATTGTTCCGCTGTATGTTTTGTGGTTATTTTGATTGTCTATGATTTCTTATGCTTTGCCTTCTGCATATAGTTCTCAAATTGTGGCATTGGAGATTCAAATTTCTTATCTGAAAGAAAACCTGGAGAAGGAGCATGAAAAGTGGCATGCAGCTCAAACCAATTATGAAAGACAGGTTTGCTCAATGCACACAACTTTGACAAGGCTTTTGATGTGTACATTGTTAATCATGAACTCATGTAATTATTCTGATAGTCATATGGCATTGTTCTTAATGAAATAGGAAGTATCCTTCTTTTAAAATTGTTGATATGGTTATTATGGAATTCCTTTTGCTCATCATATCAGTGTTTGTGCTCCTTAGAGGTTTAGTTATATGCATTGTAGTTGAGTTCCCTACATTTCCATCTTGAGAAACAGAGTACCCTGTATTTTTGGTAACATGAATCAAAGTATCTATTATACTTGGCAGTATTTAATCCATAAATTGAATTTTTAAACATCAGGCAATGGAATGGAGTGGAGTCGACTTTTAAACTATGTATTTTTAAGTTTATTGGATGCAAATATAAGTTCTTCTATGTACTTTTTTTTGCACCTTGCTTTAGTTTGCATGAGCACATTTTTGGCACTCTACTTCTAGAGCAGTATGGGGTTCCTAGTTTGTTGTGGGTGACTTTCCCCTTTGACCACACTGGTAATATTTGAATATGTTCAAATACATCTGCATAGTCCTGTTCTAGATTCGTCCATTCTATATGATTAAATTGTCTTGGGTTAATTTATTCCTTATATTACTCGCCCTGAATTAGAAATTTCTAGGTTGTGATCTCAGGACATTCCCAATTAAGTGATGGCTAAAATGTTTATTTTTGCTAGGCTTGAGTTTAATCTTTGATTTGAAGGGAATGCTCGAATCATGTGCTTGTCAGGAAAGATTGTCTTGTGTTGAGCTATGTTTAGTTACACTGGATTTTTTTACCTGTTTTTATAGCTTTAACCATCCTATTTAATGCCAATTATTGAGGATTTCGTAATACTCTTGATTGCTTTGATGATATCCTTTTTGAACAGGTTATTCTACAATCAGAGACCATTCAGGAGTTGACTAAAACATCACAAGAATTGGCTTTAATGAAGGGGGAGGCATCTGAGTTGCGTAAATTGGCAGATGCACATAAAAGTGAAAATGTACTTTATTTTTCTTTTTGTTTTGCTTGTCAAATTCTTTTGCCTCTTTTTTTTGGTGCTGGAAATGAGCCCACCTGTCATGCTTGGCTGCGTTCAGGCTCATGTTGTCTAACTGACCTGTAGCTTAAACTTTGGGCTTAAGTGGTTTAAACCTTAGGTTCAGGCTTAGCTGAAAAAGAAAAATCACATGAAGTAAACACAAAATACAAAGGGCAAAATCTCTTTACTTTCACAACCCATTTTCACCGAGCACACACTTTTAAACTGATACCAGCACTTGCAAGCCCAGTTGATCCCAGAGTCTCATAACTCAATATCAAAAATGTCATCAAGATGTGAAATTAAAGAGGATTAGAGGTATGCAGAATATTTTTTAGGAACTATGGGGTTCAAACTGAGTAGAAAAAAAGAGAGAAGTATAGTTGGAGAGAGAAATGAAGGGAGGAAGCACCTATGGCTGATTATTGTAAAAAGGTGGTGAGATAAGAAGTCTATAGAAGTTAGGAACAATGGAAAATAAGTACTATTAAATAAAGGGAACAAAATATTAAAGAATGCAAAAGAGCTTAACTAATCTAGGCTTGGTATAAGTAATGTCCAATCCATAAGTATGGTCATCAGGGCCTGCTAGTTTTTATACACTGTTATATTTGTTTATTTAAGGAACTTTAACATTTTGTTTACATTTATTTTTGACAACTCTAGTCTATTGTAGTTGCAGTTGCCCTTACTCATAAATCAATTATATTCATTGTTTTGGATATTTAGAGAATAACAGTAAACTCGAGAAAATCCAAAAATAATATCCCTAGAACCACAAAAATCTAAAAGTTAAAACTCTAGTTGGTTATTGTTTACTGACCATATTTGCACAAGCCTAATATATTCCTTTCTCTGAAAATTGCTTATTTTGGCATAGTTTACACTGTAGTGACTATAGTGGTCAGGTTTGATGATTAGGTGGCATGGCAGTGTGATTGAAAGTACTTGTGCTTTTACAGCTTTTTTGATAAAAATTGAGATAGTGCAGTGTGGGAGATAAAATGATAGAGGGATGGTAGGGGTGGTGAAGTACCGTTATACTATGGTAAGAAAGTAAGAAACTTAAGAGATGCTGTGATTTGGCTGCTCGAGCTGGAGTGCAGGGGCTTTTTGGCTTGAGCTCGCGTCACATTGTAGCCAATTGCACCCAATTATGTGTCTAAGACCGAAACAAAATACATTTGTGGTGTGTTTTTCCTTTGTTGGAGTGTAGTCTTGCTGCCTTAATGCCAAACGGAAGCCCTTAGTAGATAGAAGTATCTAATGTTCAAACTCGAACTATTTATTATATTGTCAAAATCCAGCTATCGAACTGTTTAACATTAGGTGACATCCATGACTGGTTTTATTTGTTGTAATAATTGTAAAAGACGTTCAATTCATATTAAATAAAAATTCAAGGCTCTACCTTTTGTACTTTTTGAGATTTTTATGAGACCAAAATGTGAATAAATAGTTAAGACATAACACTTATGTGAGCATAATAATTGCATAAAAGGTAAAGTTATGTTTTCTTGTTTGTTAGGAATTTCAAAATTTAAATTTATAAATTCTTCAATATATATTTATTTTCCTTCTAAAACACTTTTTTTTTCTTTTTTCTTTTTTAAATTTTGTATTCAAGAACAAAAGGAAAAATGTTTGACAACTAAGTAGAACTTATTTAATGAAACCGTGCTTAAGATGTAAGCTTTTTGCATGCCATTAAACTGATGCATATAAATGTATGCACATGTATTTCAAGTTTTATAGTTTCATATGGGCTTTTAGATTGGGGGATTTGAATTAGTTTCCTTAAGTAGACATGTTCCTGTTATATCATACTGTTCGTTGGAATACAGATTTTAAGTTTCACCAAGTGGTTTTATGAGTTATAGTTTCTGCCTTTCGGTTGAAAATTCATATGGTATGTTGCTAAATGCATTAATATGACTTGGCACCTGAGTATGTTATTTTCAGGCTGAACTTAAGGCCAAGTGGGAGATGGAGAAATCAATCCTTGAGGAATCAAGGAAAGAAGCTGAGAAGAAGTATGATGAACTTAATGAACAGGTCAGTGTTGCTCCTGAAACTGCTCTGTTTATTTCTTGCTGTTCTTGCAGCTTAGTCCTTGGTGTAGTAATTTCAATTTCTCCACATGTAAATAGAGGTATCAGGTTGTATGATTCAACTCATTAAACATATTTGTTTTCACATTATTCCCAACATTACATGTGATAATATTGTGGGTCCAAGGAAAATTAACATTAAGCAACTATCTAATTATTTGATAAGAATAGGCAAGAAAGCAATTTACCACTGAACCAACATTTCTCCTTTCATAAACTAGACAGTTTCCATGCTAATTCAAACAGTATGTTAGATAAAGTCACAGAAATTACAGGTTAGGTTAGTCACGTGTTAATTCAGACACTAATGATCAGTTGCCCATGTTCTCATTTCCCACCTAGAGTTATTTGTTTGATAGCTGAAATCAATGTAAGTGGCAGTGTTTGGTACTTAGAATTTATTTTCCTCTTGGGCACAGGTTATTCTAGTAAAAATTTCAACCATGAGCTGTACATTTTAATTGTACAATTTGGCTGAGAAATAAGAAATCTATTAGGGACACCTAGGAAGGGAACTTGAAAAGGTTGATGCATGTCTTCCTGCTACTATTTGCTTCTGGTTTACTATTATTTGCTCAAACATGAAACAGCATTTTTGAGGATATTTTTCTCTTGTTTGTGTTTCTATTCTAAAGTTTATTTTGCATTTTTTTAATGCAATAGAGTAGACAAATACTGTTTTGTACAATCATAGATTTGATCCTTTATTATGTGTTCCTCAGAACAAAATATTGCACAGTCGGCTTGAAGCTTTGCACATTCAGTTGGCTGAGAAAGATCGTGGTTCCGTACTTTCTGGTGGAAATGTTTTTCCAGATCCACTTGGTGATTCTGGTTTGCAGAATGTCGTTAATTACCTCCGACGGACGAAAGAAATAGTGAGTTCTTTTCTTTTCTTTTTTTTGTAGTCTATCAATCTTTCTGTCTTTTGCTTACTGCCTTTATTTTTGATGTCTCTGATCTTCGATAGGCAGAAACGGAGATTTCTTTATTGAAGCAGGAGAAGTTACGATTGCAATCACAAGTTAGTAATCCCTTTCCATAATATAAACTGAACTGCATATTTTGATGTTCTCCTGGCATATTATGTCATATTCAGTTATGGGTTTCTATCTACCTGTTTGTTTTTTTGTTCTTGTTCAGAAATAAAGAACTAATTTCTGAGTATTTTGTAAGATTTTTTCTTTGCTTTGTGAGGGAATTTTTTTTTTCTTTTTCTTATATGAAAACTCTACTTCTTGAATTGCCTTTGACAACTATGATGTTAATGGATTCTATATGCATTAGGTATGCTGCTAGGTTTCATGGAAGTGGTTATTTCAAATTGCTGTTTGTTTGTTCAGGAGAGATTTGACAAATGAAAGATGATGTAAAAAAAAAAATTTTGAGATCTGTTTTTTTTGTTTGTCTGGTTAATGCCTCAAAGATGTCATCAAATGTGTTGTGTCCTCTTTTCCTTGTTTAATTTTTTTAATAAGAGTTTGATGTATAGTAAAAAATGTTGGCTTTATAATGGCATAGCAATTCTCTTTTGTCATGGAATGGTTTAACGTCATGAGTTTCCTTGCATTTACTCTGTAGCTTGAGAATGCTCTTAAGGCAGCAGAAGCTGCCCAAGCCACACTTAATGCTGAGCGTTCCAATTCAAGAGCAGTATTGATGACAGAGGAAGAGATCAAGTCTTTACAACACCAGGTTATTGTTTACTTCTTGCCAAAATAGTGGTTTTAGGGATATTCAATTTTTCCATGCTTTTGCTCCCTTAGGTAGTTTCCTTTTCCCCCAAAATTTGTTTATGTCAATTTCAATACCCTTTGTAAGACCTAGCATTTATTGGTTTATCCTGATGTAATAATGTACCCCTTTTTCTTTTAATATTGCCTTGCATAATATTTTTGTTCCATAAGCCTCATTGTTAGATTAATGTAATTTTTGCAGATTAGGGAAATGAATTTACTCCGTGAAAGCAACATGCAGCTTAGAGAGGAGAACAAGCACAATTTTGAGGAATGCCAGGTATCTCTTAGGGGGAAACCTGTCACTATAGGATCATTTTGGAAAAAAAGAAAACATTTGAATGTAGTTGCTTTGCCCTACAGCAGTATTTATTTATTATATTTGTTATTTTACAAACTTCTTTTTTTTTTTTTTTATTTTATAGAAATTACGGGAGGTAGCTCAAAAGAATAGGACTGAATCTGAAACTCTAGACAGTCAGCTGATGGAGAGACATATTGAGCTTGAAGCTTCTAAAAAAGAAATTGAAATGCATCTGACAGAAAGAGATCTCTTGGAAAAGAGGGTCTCTGAGGTAAACTGCTATTTTATATGAACACAAGTTTAAAGTTGACACTACTATTTTATATTAACACATGTTTAAAGTGTAAACTGCTATTTTATCTATCTTTTTTTTCAACATTCTAATATTTACTACTTCTGTGAAGTTACTTGAGAGATGCAGAAACATTGACGTGGAAGACTATGATCGTCTGAAAAATGATGTTCAACAGAAGGAGGTAAGATGAAATTTTACGAAGTCCTATCACCCTGTTTTAAGTATTTGAAATGCAATTTGTGAATTAAAACTTTTAGGATCAAGTTTTTTATTTCTTAATTAATGATTGAGTTATTCCTTCGATATTGAAAGATTTTATCTTTTGCTAATTTCTATTAATGGTTAAAGTTATCTTTTTATTCCCTTTTTTGTGTCTTTTATGTGATGAAGATTTTGATATATGCTACTTGTGTTTTAGATTGTCCATTTTTTTAACGTTATGAGGACAAAATATTGAATAGCTTGATTTGGACGTGCTTGCAAAACATGTACAACGTTTATTGAATTAAATAAGTTTTTCCTTCATTGCTTTTATGTGCTTTATTTTCCTTTTTACTGAAAACTGAATCTTTCATGAGTTCGGTATCTACCTATCTATTTGTGTTTCTTTTGAGGCCATTATGGGTTGGAATGAGGTCCCCTTGATTGTTACATTATACCTTAAACTTTGCTATTTTGCACTGAAATTTTTTTTCAGAAACAGAATATGTTTACATTGAATTTTTATATGGAACTCTAGAAATTTATGTTGGAAATAACATTCTTAAAGAAATTTCTTCTATGTTGAAAAGAGAAAAAACTAAATTGGAACTGGTTTGCTAATTTTAAGGTTTCTTGAATAGACTGATCAGCAGATCTAGTTATAGATGGCAGTTATAATTTTTTATTAACTCATGTTGTTGCTTTTTGTTTGAATTCTTATGTGCATTTTATTTTCCACCAGGAAAAGTTGAAAGAGAAGGATGCTCAGATAGAGGAGATCACAAACCTTCTGTCTAAGAAGCAGGATATAATATCGAAATTGGAACGAGATCTTGCAAACAGCAAGATGGATCTTAATGACAAGGATAAAAAGTTAAATGATATTTTGCAGTTAGAGGTAATTTAGTGTCCGCTTCTCTGTAATTTAAGCCATCAACTTGTAGGCTTCAGTTGTGGTGTAATAAAGTGTTTGACTGTGTTATTTCGTGTGTAGGCTAATCTAAAGTTGGACTTGGAGAAGCAGAAGAAGCTTGTCCTTCAATTAAAGGTTGTGATCACTACTTAATTGCAATTTCTTTCTGATTCCAACTACAATGTTTTAGAATTGGTTTGTAAGTTCCATTTTTTTTGTTCATGTTTTCACCTAACAGGTTTTCTCTTTTTTCTTTTATTTCCCAGAGGAGAGCTGAGAATTTGGCAAAAGAAAAGGAGCAAATGGGCAAAGAAAATCAAGCACTTTCAAAACTGGTGGAGGAATTGAAACAAGGTAGAGTTCTTCTTAGAATTGTTACTTAGGTATCATGCCATTAACTTTTGAATTCTTCCGAGTAGGTCGAAGGTCCAGCAGTGATATTACTGGTGAGCAAGTCATGAAGGAAAAAGAGGAGAAAGACACTAGAATACAGGTGCTTAAGTTGATTCTTCTTCTTTTGCCTTGTTGTTTTTTTACCTATTTTGTCAACAACATTTTCCTTCCACAATATTTTACACAGATTCTGGAGAAAACTGTTGAGAGGCAAAGAGAAGAGCTGAAAAAAGAAAGGGATGAACACCAGAATGAGAAAGCAAAGCGTATAAAGTGTGAACGGACTATTATGGAAGCTGTCAGGAAAACTGAAAAGGTTGTCTATGTGTTCTTTGAACATATTGTTTCTGTGGAAAAACTAAGAAATAAATCAGTGTGGAAACTGAATGTATATTGAAAAACTGCTCATCTAGAATTATACGAGAACCTTAGGTTTATATACAACTAACTAGGAGTTAAACTAGGAAACTAAATCTTCCTAAAAAACTAATCCTATAATTGAGAGATTGTCTATCTTAATTTTCTGTCCTTAATTCTAGGGATACAAATACTTAATTCTAGGAATACAAATATAAATATACAGATTACAAGATTACAACTAGCTGTAAATAAGTGTTTTTTCACACTCCCTCTCAAACTGGTGGATAGGTGTTTTCCATTCCCAGCTTGGAAATAATTTTTTGAAATGTTGCACTGCTGAGACCTTTAATCAACACATCTGCAAGTTGACCCTTGGTTGATACATAAGGTGTACAAATCAACCCACTATCTAGTTTTTCCTTTATGAAATGCCGAGCTACTTCAATGTGTTTTGTTCCGTCATGTTGCACAGGATTGTGTGCAATGCTTATTGCAGACTTGTTATCACAGTAGAGTCTCATGGGTCCATCCCACTTGATCTTCAAGTCTTCTAGGATAATCTTTAACCATAGTAGTTCACAAATTCCTTGAGCCATTGCTCTGAACTCTACTTCAGCACTTGATCTTACCACTACATTATGTTTTTTACTCCTTCAAGTCACAAGATTACCACATAAGAAAAGTGCAATAGCCTGAGGTGGATCTTCTATCAGCATCTGTATATGCTTCTAGAACTAACCTTGAATTTCTTTTAAATAAGATACCTCTTTCAGGATTGGCCTTCAAATAGTGCAATATACGGTAGATAGCCTGTAGGTACACTTCTTTAGGACTATGCATAAATTGACTTACTACACTCACAGCATATGCTATATCAGGTCTAGTATGTGAGAGATAAATGAGTCTTTCAACTAATCTTTGGTACATCTCTATATTTACAGCAGCATCTTCATTAGCTTTTCCAATTTTATGATTAGGATCTATAGGGGTATTTGCAGGTTTACATGCGAGTTTCCCAGTTTCCTTTAAAAGATCCATCACATATTTTTGTTGTGAGATGATATCATGCCGTGAGTGAGCTACTTCAATTTGTAGGAAGTACTTCAATCTTCCTAGCTCTTTTATCTCAAATTCTCTAGCCAAACGCTGTTTTAGAGATTCTTTCTCTTTTTCATCATCTCCAGTTACAATTATATCATCAACATACACTAATAGAATTGTGACTCTACCTGAATCAGAGTGCTTGATAAACAATGTGTGATCTCTTTGACTCTGTTTATATCCCATTGCTAGCATAACTTTGGCAAATCTCCCGAACCAAGCCCTAGGAGACTGTTTAAGGCCATATAAAACATTTTTTAGCCTGCATACTTTGTTTGCTTTTAGATGACCTCCAAATCCAGATGGAACCTTCATATATATTTCTTCTTCCAAATCACCATGTAGAAAAGTATTTTTTACATCAAATTGTTGAAGCTGCCAATTGTAATTTGCAGTCAATGATAACAAAATGCTAATTGTATTCATCTTGGCAACTGGAGCGAAAGTTTCTTGATAATCAACTCCATAGGTTTAAGTGTAGCCCTTAGCCATTAACCTGGCTTTATACCTTTCAATAGTACCATCTGCTTTGTATTTTACAGTGAAAACCCATTTACACCCCCTTGGATTTTTTCCTTTAGGCAACTCTACCAGTTCCAATGTTTGATTTTTCTCTAAGGCCTTCATTTCTATTTTCATGGCTTGTCTTCATTTCTCACTGGATAATGCCTCGGATATTGTAGTTGGAACAGAAATAGTGTTTAGGCTCACAAGAAAATTTTTGTGGGATGGTGAGAATTTTTCAAATGACACAAAATTAGAGATTGGGTATAGTGGATGTTTAGTACATTCTCTGGTTCCTTTTCTAATAGCAATAGGCAATTCATAATCACTAGTTATAGTTTTGGGAGATTCATGCTCATTTTGAGAAACAGAGTAAAAAACTATAGTTACCTCATTTCTAGAGTTAGGATCAGGTTCTTGGATTGGCATTGGTTCAGGATCTGGAACTTTCCTTCTTGAGTACACCTGTAATTCCTTCATAGAATCAAAAATAATATTATCCTTTGTCACATCTTTTGTATTTGGAATGGTTTCAGACTCAAATTCAGTGTGTGATTTGGGCTTAGCAGAAACAGGTTTCGACTCAGAAGAATTAATGGGTGTAAATGTTGAAAAAGGGGACAAATCAAGCAAAAAGAAATCTTTATCCTTATCTTCCATGAATGAAGTCTCTCCCTGAAGATAAGGTTGAGTAAAAAATGGTTTACTTTCTTCAAAAGTGACATCTGCAGACACATAGAATTTTTTGATAAGAGGATGATAGCACTTATATCCTTTTTGAGTTCAAGAATACCCCACAAAAATACACTTAATCGCTTTTGGATCCAATTTTTCCCTGTTATGACTATGAACATGAACAAATGATGTACAACCAAATATCCTAGGTGTGAGATTGTTTGTGGTATTGATGTTGGGATAAAATTGTGAGAGTAGTTTCATAGGAGTTTTAAATCCCAAAACCCTTGAAGGTAACCTATTTATAATATGTGTGGCAGTGAGAACCGTTTCCCCTCAGTAAAATTTAGGTACATTTGTTTGAAAAAGAAAGGCTCGGGTTGTGGCTAGTAAATGGTTGTTTTTCCTCTCTGTCACTCCATTCTGCTGTGGAGTATTAACACAAGATGACTCATGGATAATTCTCTCTTTTTGGAAATAGGTAGATAGAGTCTGGTTGAAGTAGTTTCTTGCATTATCAGACCTAAATCTCTTGATTCTCACTCCGAATTGATTTTGGATCATGTTTTGGAAGCTTAAAAACACACTATTGATATCTGATTTGAATTTAAGTAAAAAAACCCAAGAGACCTTGGTACAATCAATTATGAATGAAACAAACCATCTCGCACCAGAAATATTAGGAATTGTAAAGGACCCCAAATGTCACTATGAATCAAGTAAAAGGGAGTAGAACTTCTTTTGTTATTGATTGGAAAAGACACACCTCTATGCTTTGCAAGTTCGCAAACATCACAATGAAAATCTTCGACATTTAATCCTTTGAACAAAGAAGGAAACATGTTTCTCAAGGTTTCAAAAGAAGGATGTTCAAAACGAAAATGATACAGCTAGATTTTGTGTTTATTAGAAGATTTTTCAAAAAGAAATGACAAAGGTAAACTATTCTTGATATTACTTGTGTTATTTGACGTCTCAAGATAGTATAGTCCATCCTTTTCTTTAGCAAGTCCAATAATCTTCCTTGAACTCTGATCCTGAAATTCACAATAAGAGGGATAAAAAGTTACTTTGCAATTCATATCTCTGGTAAGTTTTTGTATAGATATCAGATTAGTAGACAATTCAGGAACATGAAAAATATTTTTTAGAACAAACGAGGGATTAACTTGAACATCTCCTAATCCTGCCATTGTGGTAAGTGAACCATTTGCAACAACAATTTTCTTATTACTAGGACACAGGTTATATGTACTAAACTTTTGTGAGGAATGTGTCATGTGGTCTGTGGCCCTTGAGTCAATGATCTAAGAACTCGTAATAGGCTTAGCCGAGACATTTAATCCATGAGAACCGGAAGCTTTACCTGAACTAGAAATCTTACCTAAAGAATATACCACAGTAGGCTTTTTAAGGATTTTCAATAAGTTTCTCAGCTTTTCAATCTCTTCCCTGTCGAACTCTCATTGTTTCTGAGAGATTTGTAGTATTCCAGTGATTTTTTCAGTTAACATTTTCTCAAATTGGGTGGTAGTGATATCTTTCTTTGAAATGGTTCGGCAATAAATGCCTAAACAGGATTCGGCAATGAAGGCCTTAAAAAGTCAGCAATGAAGGTTGCAAATTTTGCTTCCCAAGAAGAGTCTAAAGCTCTGATACCATGTAGAAAAACTAAGAAATAAATCAGTGTGGAAACTGAATGTATATTGAAAAACTGCTCATCTAGAATTATACAAGAACCTTAGGTTTATATACAACTAACTAAGGGTTAAACTAGGAAACTAAATCTTCTTAAAAAACTAATCCTATAATTGAGAGATTGTCTATCTTAATTTTTGTCCTTAATTCTAGGGATACAAATACTTAATTTTAGGGATACAAATATAAATATACAGATTACAAGATTACAACTAGCTATAAATAAGTGTTTTCTCACAGTTTTCTTTTGTACTAGATGGGATGTCAATGGCTAATATACTTGTCAGCTACTTGAACTTGACTTGGTCATTGTCACACTAAGCTTGAGCTTGAGTTATCGAGTGAGCTTAGTTCAACTATCTTCACATGATCCTTGAAAGATTGCAAGCCTACTTGATCTTTTTAATTTTTTAATATAAATTTTTATATTTTGAATATATATGAATATTTGTATAAGAAACAGCATATCAATTCGAGTACAAATAATCGAACTTGAGTGAGCCATGTATTGTTTTGGCTTGAGCATAAATGCACAAGCTCGAGTGACTTGGTTTCTTTCTTGAATCGAGCATAAGCTTCATACCCTAATAAGGACCATAGTATTGGGCTCCGAATTTCACAATGTTAAGATTAGCAGCATTAAGTTTGCTCATAACTTCTCTTTATTTATTTTAGTTTTTGTTTGCTCTGCTCTTAATGTTAAATATATTACAGGGAAAAGCAACCGTTTTAAGCGAGCTTGAGAACTATCAGCAGGCATTGAAGCGCATCTCAGAAGAACTAGAAAAGCTCAAGCATGCTGAAGGCAATCTTCCTGAGGTAAAAGTTGTGATGCTTATCAATTAATTAGTTTTCTCAAATTGTTTTGGTGAGTAAAAGGATCTGGTTGCTTCTGTTAGTCATTTAAACATAATAATATTACTCCATGTCTTTTCTTTTCTCATTGAGACGCCAAAGATCAAACAATTGCGTTCAAAATAATGCCAACTTCTTTTATTTCTTAACTTAGAGAAAATAAAATGGAAGAATAGTCATTTGTTTTACCAAGAGGAAAGATAACTCACACACAATGAGTAAGAGAGTTATCATTATTTTTCTTTTTTCCCCCCCTTTTTTCGCCCTAATTTATACCAAATTGGGGATTTTTTTATTTTTAATTTATTTTCTTTGCTGCAATTTGTTAATTTCTCTTAAAGTGATCGAGGTTCTTTAGCGGAAACACTAATTAATGACTGCAGATGGACTTTTGGGTTTCAGTCTTGCTTTGAGAGAAAAGGCAAAGCCACTGACTTCCCTTACTTAATAATGTTAGCAGTTAAGCATTAGTAGTATTGGTTCCATATCTTGAAAAATATATTTGAAAAAGAAAAAGGGAAAGATGCCATCTTCATGCCTACTAATAGTTATGGTTTACATATTAAATATTTTTCAGTGTTGGTCTTAAAATTCAGATTTCTTACTGGATTTAATTTTTTTCAGGGTACCTCAGTGATTCAGCTTCTTTCTGGTACCATCTCTGATGATCATGCTTCTCCATATTTATCTGCTGCAGAGGATTTCGAAAGAGTTGCACGTTCGATTCTGAATGAGCTTGGAACTGGCTCCATCCCTGGAGATGTCCCTTCAGTTGACACTTCACCCACCTTTACAGGTTATCCTGTCTGGAAGTTATGACTTTGTTTGTTCTTTCTTTCTCTGCTCTTGGTGTGACAAAATTTCATTTTCAGGCACAGCAGTTTCGGATCAGGGCCCTGTTGTTGCATCCTCAACTGCTCCTGCAACAAGTCACCAACAACCAGCTAAAGCATCAGAAGAGAGGAGATCTATTTTACCTAAAACCAATATTGAAACACGCAAAACAGGGAGGAAGCTTGTCCGCCCACGTTTTGTCAAAGCTGAAGAGCCACAAGGTGACGTGGAGATGTCAGAAACTACATCTCATGATGCTGATGCTCAAGGAACTCTCACTCAACAAAATCAACAACAATCAGTTCGCAAACGTCTGGCTTCTGTTACTTCTGAATTGTGTGAGGATATACCAGTTCCTGGGGAGACGAGCACTGATGTGGCTGTACCTGTTCTAAAAAAATCCAAGGGTTCAGATTCTGCACAAGAGGCGGCTGAAGGTCAAGCTGCTGCTCTTTCAGAAAATCTTGCTTGTCCACAAGTAACTGAAGAACCTTATGATACTGTTGGTGATGTGACTCAAGGTTCAAATGAGGAGGTTGTTGACGTGAAGGAAGAGGCAGACACAATGGAGGAAAATTTTGAAGAATCAAAAGAACCCCAAGTAGATAGCACAAATGAAATTGGAATGCAGGAAAATAAAAACAATATGTTGGATGAGATCTTGGATAAGGCAGGTGGAAACGAGATGGTAGTTGATGATGAATCAAAGAATTCAGCTGAGCAAGACAGCCAAAAGCCCATTCTAGAAACTGAGAGTGAGAGGGAAGAAGGAGAAGTGGTCCCTGAGGTAGCAGCAGATGTTGAAGGAGGTGCCAATGTGCACAATGTGGTGGGATGCTCTGAGATTGGGGATGGTCAGACAGAACTAGTTCCGTCTCCTGTGGCTTCACCTTCTAGGGTTGATGATGAAGCTCTAGTTACAGCAGCAATAGAAGGCGATAACTCTTCTGACGTTGTAAATGATGAGAAGAATGATGAAGGTGATTTAGTTGAAGAGCTTGTTGCGGAAGGATTTGACAAGTCAAATGATGTGGAGACGGATACATTGCCTGAAGCTGCCACTGGTACTAATGAAACTGCTTCAACAAGTGTTCCACCAGATGCGGAGGTCTCAAAACACATTGGTAGTTCAAGCGCTGCACCAGAAGCTGAGGATGTAAAACAGACGTCTCCTGTAAGTGGAACCTCAACGGTGGTAAATCTACAAGAGCGAGCTAGGGAAAGAGCCATACTGAGGCAGGCAGGAGTGCTTGCTTCTTCAACTAGAGGTCGTGGAAGGCCAGCAATACGTGCTCGAGGTGCCCGGGGACGCAATGGGCGTGGACGAGGAGGACAAAGTTCAGAAAAACAGTGAGCAACTTTTTAAAAGAAAATCTTTATATATATATATATATATATATATATTAACGTCACAGCTTGTTTCTGACATGAGATTTTTTTGAGATTTTATTAATTTGTTTTACTTGATTCGAAAATTTTTAATTTGACAAAGTAACTGACGCTTGGTTAGATTAATTACATTTATTCCCTAAGTATACTTTTGCTTTGCAATAGAAAGTTTAAATTTCATATTAGAAGATGAAATTAATTGCATTTAATCACTTTGGTTTTTACATTCAATTTGTTTTTCACTAAGACGTGACTGTTGACATTGTTCCGTTGAAAAATGTTTTCCAATTTTGTTGCTTCTGTGACCTTCAAAATTTAGATAACTTATCAAATTTGGTTTTTAAATATCAGGACGGATTGGGTTTTGCTTGGTGTAGACATCATATTAGTTCATTAAATACTGGTAAAATTGCGACATAAAAAAGATTAAATTTATTTAATAATATTTTTTAAAATTATTTTATCAAAATTTAATTGTATTATTTATTTATTTATTTGTAAATGATGTGTGTTCATTCAGTAAATATTAAGTTTTTTGCTTTTTTCTAATGGCTATTTATTCAATAATTTTTTCATGTAATATGAAATATAGTAATTTAAAAACAGTAATTGTTTATAATATTATATTAAACACGGTCAAGTAACCGATTTTATTATCGTTATAATTAAATCATTACTGTGATTTTAAAAATGATATTAAAAGTAAAAGAAATAGCAAAAGAAAGGGTTTTAAATTTTAGAACTTTGCCCTTTTCTGCCAATTAATGATAATTATAGTTTGAACAGAACTCTCAATGAAACCATTAAAGCTCAAGATTTCACTTAATCCCTATTTTCTCTGTCAAGTAGTATTTCCTTTCGAACTCTGCTTGGTCCTCTTAACAGGATCCTTACCTCCCCGTCCCACCTGACTATGTTAACAGGATGATTGCCAAGATTGCCATTGTGAGCGGTGAGGGTTTCACTTCTAGTGGGGTATTTAGTGCGATCCAAGATCGATTTGAGTTGCCACCTAATTTATTTACATAATAAAAATCAAGGTCGGTTTTAAGGCGGCAGTCTCATCTTTACTAAAGAATCTGATTAGAAAATTAAGTACGGAATATAGGGGTAATAGCTCCAATTTTTTTGGGGGTAAACTTAACTTGTAAAACACGCTAAATATAAATAGCAAATGATTTTTAATGCTATTCTTATTATATTTGCAATAATTATCAATAAAAAATAAAAATAATATCATTAATTTAAAAATTGATTTCATTATAAAAATAATCATTTAAATTATATTATTGCTTTATTATATTTATTCCACATTTAGATTTTAATTTTAATATGACAATAATTCAAATATAAAAAATTATATTATAATTTTAACATTAGACTGAATTTGATGTTTTGAAAAAAAAATTAATACCATTATTAACAAAATTAACTTTAGATTATATTTTTGTTAGTGTTTCAATCATATTAAAGATTAAATTTACTTGAAAATAAAATATTATTTTATAAATTAAAATATATTGTTTTTAAAATTGAAATATGAAGATGAAAAAAATTAAATAATGGTGCGCTTGAGAGTTAAGAGTGACGATATGATATTGGCTTTGAGAAATTTGTTTGGAGGTAGTTGTGAAATTGAGAATTTTTGTTTAGATGGGATTGTGAAGTTGGGAATACTGTCACATTTTAATTTTTAATTATTAATTTTATTTTTTTTGCATTTTTTACATTTGAATTTTACTATTAAATAAAACGAAATTTAATTTAATTTGATGTTTAATTGATTTATTAATATATATTATAAATAAAATTAGGGTGAGAATAGAATTAATTATTATTATAGTAAATTAAAGTATAATTTAGAAGTATACTATACTAATAATAATTATTTTAATACAGTTAATTTTTATACTTAATTGATATTAAGATTTATTGTACTTGAATAAATACACTTCTTTGAGTTTAAGGTTATTAGTATTATATTAATTAATTTAATAATATCTACTACTTAACATTTTTAATTGGATATTTGGTCAATGATGTTATTATATTTATACTAATGTTAAAATGATCTAATTAGTGCTCTTTAATAATGTTTAATATTTAACTCGGTGAAATTTGGTCAAATGATATATATAAATATATCTAATGTTATTATGATAAAATCAATTGGTGTATATGAATTTTTTTTTCTAATTTAACATTGTAATAAGACATTTGATCAATTATTATATATGATTATATTTAACGTAGAGATATTACTGTAATAATTTATATACAAACTAAAAACAAAATAGATATAAGGTTGAATTAATTAATGGACCAATTATTTATATTATTATTATTATTATTATTATTATTTTTGTAAATGATAATTGACACTTTTTAAATAATATCTATTATTCAGCATTATAATTGGACAATTGGCAATTGATGAATATTTTAATCTAAAGTTAATTTCAAATATTAAAATTATATCAATACTATATCAAATTAGTTTTTACATATCATGGATTTTCAAAATTTCTAAGTACTGATTATTAAAATGAAAGCAATTAATTGATAATCTTTTATTGTCTATATTCAATATTTAATTGAACATTTACTAATGTAATTATATCTAATGTAATTATGTTGGCATTTCATTTATTTCCAAATCAAAAAACAAAACAAATGTATGAAAAATTTTAGAAAATTTAAAATATTTGTTAAAAATTATAATATATTAACTAATAAAGCTAATAAAATTAAATAAAAAATAAAAAAACTGTTGGTCAAAGTGGCTCAAGTTAATTGCCCAATAGTCCATTGAGTTAAGACTTAAGTATAAAAAACCATTTATATAAATGTCTAGTGAACTTTATTTCCTTGAATTTTTTTTTTTTTTATGTAGCCTAACAGTTTTGGACTTTTATTTTTATATATTAGACTTATATATTTATTTAGCTATTTAAACTTATAAGATGGACAAAAAAAAATGTAATGGATAATTTTTTTTTGAGCAGAGTAATGGATAATATTGAAGTACAAAATTATTATATAATGAATATTTATATAAATATTTATTAATTAAAAAAAATTAACTTTAGTTTTTTGCTACATTTTAATTTAGTTATAAAAAAATTAAAAATAATTATTACATTTAAAATTACAAAAAAAAAAACCCTAACTTATAAAATTTCAAAATTATTTGGATCTGTCTAGGTTTGCACAACTCTAATTGAACCAAATTTGAAATAATCTATATCCAAAATTGTTTGAAACTCAAAAAGTTTGAATTTCAAGTTATCAGTATTAAAAAATATCCTAATCCAAAACAATTCAAATTTGAAAAAAACCATAATTTGAAAATTTTGAATATGAAGGCAGCCTAATTTAAGCCAACCCAAGCAGGTCAGTTTGCCACTATTATTAACCCAATATAATTAGAATTAATTAGGATAATAAGACTAATTATAGGATTACATGCCCAAAACCTAATGAAAGGCTCGATGATTGTGTGTTAACGGATGATAATGATCCGTGGACTAAAATTAACATAGTTTAAAAAGTCCAAGCCAAGAGAAACTCCGTGGCAACAAAACTCTAAAAATCTAGCTTAGTGGGTGGTTACTAGCAATTACTTAACGAAAAAAAATAGGAGAATTCTTAGAGATGTCAAATGGGCTATATTGGGCAGCATAGTCCAATTAAATATTAATCCATATGTTAATGGATCATGTCATTTCAAAACTATTTTTTAACGTGTCATGTTGCTCGGCCCACAAAGATTAAAGGAATAGTTTAGCACAATACATGACTTGTAATCATCACGAGTCTCACAATATTATTTTTTGTATCAAGTTGTACCAAGTACAACCTATTAATACTTTTTCAAAATTTAATTATTTAAAAAAAGTTTTTAAAATAATTAAATAATTATTATTTAAAATAATTATTTACTATAATAATAATTAATTAATTATTTAATTATTTAATCATTTAATTATTTAATTATACTTTTTAAAATAATCCATGCATTGAAAGGTTAGCAAATTAATTAGATATAATTTATCTATTAATAATTTAAATATTAAATCAGTAAATTTATTTAATATAATTTTATTTTATAAATTACCAAAACATATATATAATTTCATTGTAATATAAAAAATAACATGAACATATTAAAAGGCCAAAAGTTCATTTATAACAATTATGAGCCAACATGGCACGACACATTTGAGTTTGTGTATTGTGTTATGCTAGTTTCATAGTTCACATGGGCGTACTTGAGGCCTAGGCACTAGTAGTAGAATTAGTCAGGAGGATTCTAGCACTAAGCTCGTAATAGGCACAAGGGGGTCGCCTGCACAAGTAACCTAAGGCAAGTAAAATACTTCTAGAAGGGTACTAGGTGCAGTATGCCCAGGTGCGGGTAGAACAGGCCCTAGTAGACCCAAAGTGCTAAAGCTTTAAAAAGATATGGAGATTGACCGGGCTAGGATAGTTCTTTATAGAATTTGAAAGTTTCAATGATCTTATGTAATCTTCTTGAAATCTTGGACTTACAATAGCCACTGGATTTAGTCAATCCAGGCCATTGATTCATTGGGGCTTCAATAATAAATAGAGGGTCTCACCATCCTCATTTGATGTATAGAAACACTTGACCAATACAAGTTATAACATTTTCAGCATCTCTCTCGTCTTTAAGCTTTTTTTACTTTTGAATGCCTTTCGATTGTTTTTTTTTGAGTGCCCACTTTTTAAAAGTGTTTTAGACTTACTTACGTATACAAGGAGGGGATTTCCAGGCTAAGGTTGCACAGAGCGGGGGCATAAGTCCTAGGCCTATGATAGTTGTATCAAAATAGGTTCTACTTAAAGGTGGTGTTCAGGTTGCACTTAAGGTATTTGAAAAAATGACATCTCAAAGTAATGTTGCTAGCTAAAACATGAGGCTTAAGAGCAAGCTCGTGGAAGGAGTAAGAAGGTAAGCTTGAGAGATATCATGCTGAGCCTGGATTGCTGCTTAGCCAAAGGGGAGGTGATCGTGTTAGATATTAGAGAGAAGCTCAAGAAAATGAAAGAGAAGTTCAATGAAGGATTCTATGGTGCCCATAATGAAACCATCAACATGTTTATCCAAAAGCA